CTTTTTTTGGCAGGTAGCTGATGTAATAAGGAGTAACTTAGGCTACTTTTATTTTAGAAAAGTAAAGTTAAATTCCACGCAGACGAAGTATAATAATTTTAGCCCAGGGCCCCACAATTTCCTGATCCACCTCTGCAACAACGTGTGCCATAATTAATGCCCCTTACATGTCCTGTCTTAGAAATTGTATACGTCGGTATAGACTTTCTTATACTCTTGCAGTAAGCACTTGTGACTTCGCCCACACAGACTTTAATACAGTAATAGGTTTCAACTATTTCCGGAGCAGTTAGTGTGGTAATATTAGCTGTTGTTGTTGTTGACCATGTTGGCTCATTCCCGTGGAATTCATAGCTGCTGGTATTTCAGTTAGTTATTAAGTTAATTATTATTTATTTATACTCATTAGTGCACCAGATCTTAATCCAATTAATAGTATAAACGCGAAAGTTTGAGAGTATAGATGGATATTTGTTACTCTTTCACGCAAAAACTGCTGAACGGTTTGTGATGAAACTTTACAGTAATATAGCTTACACATCAGAATAACTCGTAGGCTATAATTTTAAAATATATTATATACATTGGGCTAAATATAATGATAAATGTCATGTAAGTGTGATGCAAACGAAGTTGGTCGGCTAGTATATAATAATTGAAATAATAACGTTACAAAACTGGTACAAAAGCCACGTAAAGAGGAGATCCATTAAATAAAAAATATAATTATCACAAAATACTACTTATAAATACTATGCACTACTAAAAATCAATTGACTGTTCAAAATGGTCTCCTTAAACGCGTAAACATTCGTCATACATTCCTACAACATAATTAAACCTATTACATGGGTGTTATCTGCATTCACAAAGCGAAACTGATAACGACATTAAATCTAATTAAATTTGCTTTTTTTATTGTCACGCTATATATCTTATATACCTATAAAATTCTCGTCTCACAATTTTACTTACCATATCACTCAGAAACGGCTTCACCGATTTTTATTAAATTTTATATGCTTTTTCAGTAGGTTTTATATGCATTTTAAGAATCGGCTCTTATCTATTTTTCATACCCCTAATATTTTTTTTATTTTTTGGACTTTCTTTTTTATAATTCAAAATACATAAAGACCTAAATTTTCACCTTCCTACCAACCTCTATTCTTTAATAGTGATTTTTATTTATATGACAAAACAATTGCGAGGTCAGGTACTTTTATCTAAAATTGAATTGAGGCTTGGGAAATAGCGCATAATGCCAGTCATAGAAACAGTTGCGTATGCCACAGATAACATATTACATACGTATACTTTGATAGCATTATGAGAATAAAAAAATACACCAAGTATTCTTTGTCTTTATTCAGTAAACATACCCTTCCTCTTCCCGATAAACATTATCTTTAATTACGTGAAAATTATTTTATCTAAGTTCAGACCTCTGACTTCTACTGTCTCCATTTTGACGATTCATGCATTCAAATGATAGTATTCGCTTGTCAGATAACAATTATATTATTATACTAGCTGTACCCGCGATATCGTTCGCGTGTAATTTAACTTTATTTATCTAAAATAAAAGTAGCCTAAGTTACTTCTTATTACATCAGCTACCTGCCAATAAAACTCCCGTCAAAATTGGTCCAGCCATTTCAGGCATTAGCCGGAACAAACAGACAGACAGACAAAAATTGTAAAAAATGTTATTTTGATATATTAATATACATATGCGTGTATTAAAAAACGGTTATTTCAATATTACAAATAGACACTCCAATTTTATTTATATGCATAGATTTGGAGTTATCATTATTTAGGTCGCAGACTTTTGTATTATATTTGGCATGTTCTCGTAGATAAAGAAATTTAATAATTCGCTGTCTGCGAGGTAAAATAATGATATTTCTCCGCATTGTTCTGGCGTCCCGTATTCGGATTATTTGACGGTCTCGGTGGTCTAGCGGTGTAGCAGACTGCTTTACTTCCGATGGTCGCTGGTTTGATTCCTCGCACGATATTAGTCTGTGTGTTTTTTATATCTATTATTCAAGTATTTCTTTATTATTTTGTACCCATAACACATTATTATTTAATAAGCTGTCTGTGTTTTTCAATAAAAGAAGATTTTAGAGAAGAATTAGAATATCTTTGATATTTGTTTTTGGGAAATAACTTTATAATATAACTATCTTATGCACTTATGGATTTTATTGACTTTTCTACTCCATTCGTTGAAGACACATATACGTACCTGTCTGTAGAATATAATTCGTATAATATTAATTGGCTGACCGCGGCTGAAGCCCTATATAGCCCTTTTCTCAAGTAGATTCAAACATATAGTCCAGGCGATGGTAAGTAAGTATATAGGTAGAGATAAAACCTTTAACCAATTACAGATGACGTAGTGCAATATTTGTTTTAATGACAAGAGTCTTCTGGAATATAAAATCTTGGATTTCAATAGAGAATTGGGAATAATTCAACATTGTCTAAATCATTTTACCCGTCGTAGGCCCCAACTTATTATTCTATTCTTATGGAGCGTCTGGTTCTAAACTGGTCTCAGACTATTTTCTGTTCTATCGAGCCTCATTCAAATCTACGTTCTAGAAATTTCGAAAACTCAAACCACATCGCGTTAAGCATCCTGTAACCTAGGATGTTACTGGTATCTGACCAAAAATCAAATAACTTGGCGAGTTCCAATAAAATTAAAAAAAAAAAACAAAAACTACATTCCTATTACAATTACAATACCATAACTACCAGATTATTTACCGAGTTCGTGTAAGATTTCCCAAATCACAATGTAATGCGTCCATTGGGTCCTAGAGTTTCATTGAGGCTTGGGATATAGCTGATTTTGCCAGCCATAAAAAAGGTATATGTCGTTTAAGTAGGTACATGCCATACAGCTTAGTCGGCGTATGTCTGAACACGCATTAGAGTCTATCAATTTTAACAAAATTGTTCTTGTATGACCTCTTAATAATAATATAACCTTGTCCTTTGAAGCATCCGATTGCCGAGGACATAGGTCATTCACTTCAGCGTTAACTCGATTAAACGACGGTCGCAGCGTCGTTTAATCTTTACATTGTACCAAAGTATTTAACTAACTCTAATCCGCAACTTTGTTCACATTAAGATATTAAATTATTACTACTATCTTTAGAATTTATGGATTCCGCATAACATTAAATTCCTATTTTACTCCTAAATTCTATTTTCGAGACGAAATATATCTCTACTTTTCCAAAGTTTAATCTATCTATTACCTTACCTATAGGTGCCAAATTACAGATAGAATGATACACTTATATATCATTACATAGTACAAAACAAAGTCGCTGTCGCTGCCTGTCCGTCCCTATGTATGCTTAAATCTTTAAAACTACGCAACGGATTTTGAAGCGGTTTTTTTAACAGATAGAGTGATTCAAGAGGAAGGTTTGTATGTATAATACATGTACACCTGGGCGAAGCCGGGGCGAGTAACTAGTGTGTATATAAAATAAAAGGAATAATAAATAACTGTCGTATTTATTGTATATTATCATTAAATACAAAGCATGAACTCTTTTAATATTATCTTATCTGTGGTAGTACTACTGTAGTGTATGAGTATTCTCGTTACTAATTAAGGTTATAAATTATTCTTACGCGGATTATAATTCGATATTGGTAATTTATTATTTAAAAGTATGTGGCTACGATTGCATAAATTAAATTTAAAAAATAGATATAATTATAATTGTCCTGAGACAATTCACACAGCCACGGCTAGTTCCGAGCAAAGTAGAGTTTGTGGTATGGGTCCTAGATTTTTTATAAATACAGTAATCCTTCCTATGACACGGTAGATTGGTCCCGCGTTATAGAAAAATGCGTTGTAGGAGTATTGCCGTATGACGCGTCTTTACGACCCCGTATAACGCGTTCCGTATAAATTATTCAAGTTTTTTTCTGGCTAAAGGGGGTTTAAATAGAAAATGGAATATAATAAAAAAACTTATGCATATGAACTAAGAAAACCTAATTATAAATAAATCATTATAAATTTCACAGTACACAAATATAATGTGGGAAATCCCTGCGTTATATGGGGGAATGTCCGTGTTATAGGGAGGATTACATACCTACTGTATATATATAATATACATTGAAAACACTCAGACCGATACAAACATTCATACTTATAAATAGAAATGTTTGTATTGTGAGAGGAATCGAACCTGTGACCATCGGAAGAAAGGCGGTGTGCTAAACCACTAGACCACAATGACCGTCAAAATACTAGTAATATATAATATTTTATAGTGAAAGAGTTCGAACCGCCAAGCGACGATAAACAAACACGCTAACAGACAAAGAAATACACATTCATATTTCTAAGTCGGCAAGGATGTATTTGGTCATTCAACTCACCAACTCACTATAGAACGTCAATTCGATCCTTCCCAGCGACGAATATTGTGTGAGAATTAATCAATAGATTATGTGCCTATTGATTAAAACATTAAAATTTTCTTTTTACCGTCACTACTGTTATTCCAGATGGGCTAATTAGATATATTATTGACATTCAGCACTTAATATGCCCACATTTCGCTCGGTATATTGGAATTCAAATCCCAAGGAGGCAAGCCTACCGAATACTCGATCGAAGAATCGATTTATAGTTCGTTCTCTGTTTCTATCGCCGGAAATTCAGCCACATATGCTGACGTACAATTTTTTAATGTCAGATTTGAACCTACAACCTTTTAGTTATAGTCCGTGTCCGTTAACCACTAAGTCACCACGGTAGGTGGTCAAAAAATTATAATAAAAATATTACTCAACGATTACGGCTAATGATAGAGTAAACAGAATTATAACAACACGCTAGTGCACAATGAATTTTGAACTATTATAAAACATATCCGGCGGGTTTGCAACATGTAAAAGAATGCAATATATTATTCAATTGTTGCCATCTTTTGTTCCAGTTAGAATGGCCGCCCAGGAAGCGGCAATGATAGAAAAATGTGAACCAGTCAATGGAATAGCCAGTGCTTGTGGCAGTACTGTGAAATTGAAGAGGGAATTGGGATTATATTCAGCAGTGAACCTAATCCTTGGAGTAATGATTGGCTCAGGGATCTTTGTATCCCCAGCGTCGGCTCTAGAACATTCCGGGTCAGTAGGCTTGTGCCTAATCATATGGACGGTATCAGGAATAATATCCTTATTAGGTGGGTGTAGGTAAGGTTTTACCTCTTTCATAAAATTATTATTGTTTACTTATATTTATTATCAAGGTAAATATAATGGAACGTGAATTTGCAGGAGCATTATCCTTCGCCGAATTGGGAACTGTGGTTAATAAATCTGGAGCAGAATACGCATATTTTCAAGCAGCTTTCGGTAAAATGCACAAATTTTGGGGCCCGTTGCCGTCATTTATATGTGCATGGATTTACGTTATGATACTCAGACCCGCTGAAGTGGCCATAATTGTAATGACTTTCGCTGAGTATGCAATACAACCTTTCACACATGACTTACAAGAAGACTATAAGGACACTGCAATCAAATTAGGCTCTCTAACAGCATTACGTAAGTAGAGTAATATTATATTTCTGTCTCCGTCTTGTTACAGTTTATTGTTAATAAAATCTGTATAATTTTGTATGCTATTTAACACTACGTTATGTTACGTATCCCAATACGTCATATAATATTCTCGAAACTATAAAGAACAACAATGTTAAAGTTATATACCATTTTTTAATTTATCGAATTCATCGAATTTCGACTCGATTATACGCTCGACTCTCGCTTACGATATAAACAGGCTGTAGCAACACTACACTGTCAAACGGGCGACTGTCAAGTAAATGTCATTACAAGTTTTTAAACACCACCGGTCGCCGCTATCGTTTATTGTTTCTAGTCATTGTTATTGTGGAAAATAATTTAGATCAGTGAATGTTAGTTTAAACTACTATTTAAAAGTTACTTCAAATAATAATGTAAGTATAAACTATAATTATTACTTTTACTATAATATTATCTAAGAATAATTTTCAATTTAACTTTATGCATCACTGTTTATATTTACAGTATGTCTAATAATCGTAATAAAGAGACCCAAGAAGACCTTAAGCGGAAAATAAAAGCATTACAGTCTAAATGTGTCGACACCTGCAATGTGATTGAGAATTCACCTTTAAATACGCATTTAATTACGCCAGACAATGTAAGTGAAAAGTCTCTATGTTACGTAGAAGGGCTTCGATCGGATATTGAAAATTCAAGCACAGCAATAATAACCGATGAAAATTTACTTACCGCCCAATTTTTAAGTGAAATGACAGAAAAAACCACGCAAATTGAAGACTTAACTGCATACACAAAAGGTTTAGTACATGATGTGGATGCAGAAATCAACAGGTAGGTGAACTAATTACTTAACGAATTTCAGGATGGTTCTTAATTTGATATTTCTGTATTTACAATATTATATACTTTTTTACTTCTATTTTCCATAATTCCAAAATGTTTAAATGTAAAATATAAAATACAGTCTAAGTTGTGATACTCCTCCAAAAGGTTTTGTCCAATTTTCATGTATTCAGTAGGTCTGAGAACAAGTTATCTATTTTTCATACCTTAGTGGTAGAGGAGGCCCACCGCAATATTTTTTTTAATGATGTGGCATCTAAAAATATGTACAATGCAACATTTCCACCCTGCTACCAGAAAAACTGATGTACTTTTCATGCTCTCATGTCCTCATATACATAACCTCTCATGACATAACTATATCAACTTTTAACTATCATTATTTGCTACATTTAATGGTATCTCAACAATTTATATTAATTACAGATTAAATGAATTGATAAAAATGTCACAGGCAGCAAGGTCTCAGCCGTTGGTACAAAAAAGACAAGAGCTGCGACCGGAACACTTGCAAAAAGCTAAAGAGAGGTTTCTTCTAATGAAGACTGAAATTCATGGCCTCGTTAGGTCATTGTTCCCCAAGCATGCGGACTTGATGCTTGAAGTTATGGCCGTAAGTTAACAATTTAATGCAAGTCTTGTTCAGTTTATATATAGGAGGATTTTTTTACAAGTGACTTGTTATATGTATGTTATACAACTATTTTTGGGTTCATATATATCTACCCAATAATATGTAATACATCATATAAAACGAAGTCCTTTCACCTCATCTGTCTGTATATTTGCAATAATTTTGAAATCCACTGGGTTGTTTTTATGTGATTTTGATCCCTCAATTCATTTCTGATTGAAGTTTACAGGTGTAATCTGCTAATGTTTTGTATAAAATGATTTAAATATCTGTTTTATTTAAGTTGGGGCGGGTCACTAGTAATTCATAAAGAACTCCAGTCTCTAAATCTGGAAAAACTATTTATATCAATTTGACCTAAAACTGAGTGCTTGTGGTGATGTATACATCGTCATTTCTAAGTACTAATATTATAGTATAATACCCTCACTTGAGCTTATGGTGTATGCTAGCAAGCTATCAGTGGAGTCTTATAGTAATAATAAATGTTTTTTTTTTCAGGAATTAATGGCTGAAAAACTAAATGAAAATTCCAACAGTTATATACCAATAACAGCAGAGAACTACCAAATAATTGAGTTACTAAAGGACATTAACTTAGTCACAACTAACCCTTACAACAATATTGAAGTGAAGATTGCATATTGAGCTTCAAGCTTTATGAGAGTTATGCCACTGTATAGAATAGAAAAATTGTAGAGACATCAACTAATCAGATTATAGAACTATGAGAAAAACCATGACTATGTAAATTTTTACATTATGGACATAACTCAGAAGCATTACAAAAACAACTTTTAGTACTCTCAACTCTTTGAAGTATCTTATATCATTTGTTTTCCCAACTTAAAAATACACAGCCATAAAAAATGTGATGTATTTCCAGGATCGTAAAAAAAATTTAATGTGTAGTTTATTTTATCTAATGAAATACGAGGGACCATTGTGAATTTAACAAATAAATGTTATGGACTTTCATTTCAGTTTTATTATTTATTTTCTTCTGTCCTTACTTTTTTTTTTAATATTACAGTCTGCGTTATAGCATGGCACGATTTTCAACCACTTAATGTTCTGGAATATAATTTATTTGCCATGTTTTATTTTAAATCATTTAGAGTACTAAACACTTAATGTTAGAGTACTAAACAATCAATGTTTTTCCATGTTTAATTTCTAATCAAATTCAATTCGTTTCCAATTCAATACATGCTATGCTGTATGTCACCTTCATTATAGAATAGCCAGCGGGTACTTGCAATGCATTGAAACTAATATGAAATGATACATTAAAATATCTTCATTCAGGTTATTACAGACTCTTATTAAATATGTCAAATCTACAGTCGTCAGTTTGGAGTGCTTTCGAGGCAAGAAGAATTGACAAAAACTCAGCTCTTATTCATTTCAAATTCTTTTGTTGTTACATATGAATTGAGAGAGTGATATATATTGTAATTTTATAACATAGTTCATAAATTGATTAGTAACATAATATAGGTGGTTCATTCATTCATAATTTAAGAGCTACGCTCTTGTCGGTGGGGCTCTTGCCACTTTCTGCGATCTTCCATCATGCTCTTTAATTCTTGATACGACACGACTCCCATTTTGTCCTCAATTTGTTTGATGTAGCTATTCCTGGATGGTTATCCGAATTAAATAAATGAAATAAAATACATCTTCTAATGATATGCTTTATTCCAGTTATAATGACATACATCAATATAACGAGCGTGAAACTGTTCGTCAAAGTCCAGAACGTGTTCGGCGTGTGTAAAGTGTTTGCTTGTCTGGTAGTCATCGGCGGGGGCATATACGAGATTTTTAAGGGTAAGATCCTATACGTTACTGCAGTAAAAAAACAACGAGAGCGTAATTAAATAGCGATTACAGTGTGATAAGTCAAAAAGAATATGAGTTAAAATTTGGATAAGTTTTTCAAATTGACCAAGCATAATATATTATCATTGATATCATTATTATAATTATCAGAGCAGACCAGTTTCTACAAGCAGCACCCGTTAGTCGTTAATTATGTATTAGACAAAAAAATCAAATATAAACCTCAGGATTTTTTTCTTATAGAATACTGAGACACTTAGAAGCTTAGTCCTACGTAATGGCACTGTATGAGGGGTACTACAGGCGTATTGAACATGATATACGTTGATACCTAGAAACTCTTCTTGTGTATAGACGACGGTTGCCACTTAGGACGTTAGTTAGCTTGCCTTTCTTATAAATAAATATTCCTAAGAAAGTATAGTAATATTGTTATATTCACAGGAAACACGGAACACCTGAAGAAAGGCTTCGAAGGCAGTACTACGAGCCCTGGTGGAATAGCCCTGGCCCTCTACTCGGGGCTATGGGCGTATGATGGCTGGAACAGCGTCACTGTTGTCACCGAGGAGATCATCAACCCAGCTGTGTTAGTTGACTCACCAAATTTCAACATAATAATAATAATCTCAGGACTATTCACACAGCGTCATCTAGACCCAAATTATGCTAAAGCTTGCTATGATATATTAGATAACTGATAACAAATACATAGATATTTTATTTTCGTAAATAGATACATATTATACATAGAAAACAACCAGACCGATACAAACAATCATACTCATGAATACAAATGTTTGTGCCATGCGAGGAATCGAACCGGCGACCATCGGAAATAAGACGGTGTGCTAAACCGCTAGAGCACCGAGACCGTCGAACATATTAATTTTAATAAAACTATAATGTCTATTTCATATCCAGCGATTTATCATACTGGCATAATTTCATTAGATGTCATGGGTTCGTTACAGTATAAACATTTGTATTCATGAGTAGATTTATTTTTTGCTATTTATCTGGGCGATATAGAATATTATCCTAATTAATGAAAGCGAAATAGCACAATAGCCTATCCTAATACTATGTGATGTGTGGACACTTGTGTCGAACAATAAGTTGATGATGAAATTCGCTATGAATGATTTTCTTTGTAATGTAATTATATATTTTTAAAAAATTAAATGATTTCATGTTGTCTACTACCTATAGAACAAGTTCCGCTTATTTATTGCAATATCACAAAAACATATTACGTTTACATTTTTGCAATTATTCGTAAGCTTAGTTTGAAACTAGATGGCGCTGTCTAACAAATGACCGCACCTCCATACAGGAATGTGCCGCTAAGCATATCCATCGCTGTGCCCTTGATCACGGCGCTCTACGTGTTCATGAACGTGGCGTACATGACGGTGCTGAGCTACGCGGAGATGACGTCGGTACCGGCGGTGGCAGTTGCCTTCGGAGCGAGGGTGCTCGGCCCCGCCAGCTTCCTCATACCACTCGGGGTCGCCGTCGCCACCTTCGGCTGCGCTATGAGCGTGCAGTTCGGCGTCACCAGGTATCGTGTCGTATCGTAGCTCAGCCCCGCCAGCTTCCTCATACCACTCGGGCTCGCCGTCGCCACCTGCGGCTGCGCTATGAGCGTGCAGTTCGGCGTCACCAGGTATAGTGTCGTATCGTAGCTCAGCCCCGCCAGCTTCCTCATACCACTCGGGGTCGCCGTCGCCACCTTCGGCTGCGCTATGAGCGTGCAGTTCGGCGTCACCAGGTATCGTGTCGTATCGTAGCTCAGCCCCGCCAGCTTCCTCATACCACTCGGGGTCGCCGTCGCCACCTTTGACTGCGCTATGAGCGTGCAGTTCGGCGTGACCAGGTATCGTGTCGTATCGTAGCTCAGCCCCGCCAGCTTCCTCATACCACTCGGGCTCGCCGTCGCCACCTTCGGCTGCGCAATGAGCGTGCAGTTCGGCATCACCAGGTATCGTATCGTATCGTAGCTCGGCCCCGCCAGCTTCCTCACACCACTCGGCGTCGCCGTCGCCACCTTCCGCTACGTTATAAGCGTGCAGTTCGATCGAGTTCAGTATTTATCAATCCTATAAACAAAATTTTACAACAAGATACCAAAGAAGATTCTAGAATTTCCTTTAAATATATATAAAACTTCTGTTAAAACAAAAACCTCAAAACTTTGCAGGTACTTTGTAGAAAATATACTATTTCTACGTCATATAATACTGTCTCTTGCAAAATGCACTTATTATTTGGAAAAACATTACATTTCATTAAACATGTGTTTAATGTTTGTACATTCACACTTAATAGCAAAGAGTATTAACTCGAAAACTATAAACCTTGGAAAATCGACTCAACAATTTTAACTTTAAAGTTAATTTTCTCAAAATATGCTTTTTAATTAATGCAATTTATTATTATGTAGGCAATAACTTCTTGTTTATTCCCAGGGTATGTTACACAGCTGCTCGTGGCGGCCATATGCTCGAAGTGTTTTCATATGTCAACGTAAAAAGACTGACGCCAGCGCCTGCGGTTGCGTTTCAAGTAGGTTATATTATATGTTTTGTAGGTATATTTCCTATACCCAGTCTACTACTTACATTACACTACATACTCTGGCGGTTTGTCATACATTTACTATACCCTGCCTCGGTGGTCTGGCAAACCGGCAGACCACCGACACCACCTCACTTCCGAAGTACAAACATTTGTATTCATGAAAAAAATTCAAAAAGAAAATCAATGAATGTCTCAATGGTCACGGGTTCGATTGTTCGCACAGAACAAACATTTGTATTCATGAAAAAATTCAAAAGAAAAAACAATGAATACAATATTAGTGTAGATGAACCATCCATAGATACTAATATTACAACTGCAAAAATGTTTCTGCATTTTTATCTGTGTATATATTAGTATTAAATATGTATCAGTGGCAAGAGCTCCACCGACAAGAGCGTAGCTCTTAAATTATGAATGAATGAATGAATGTATCAGTTATCTAGTACAGTAATATAGTAGTATTATAGTAATAATATAATAATTACACAGTATCCTTAATTTTGTACTATTTGGCACTGTACCTACTATTTTTTATTTAGTGCTCTTTTTTATGGTAAAGAATTTAGAAGACTCATTTTTATTTCAGGCAATCCTAACCGCAATATTCATCGTTGTTGGCAACATACAAACTCTTATAGAATTTGCTAGTTGGTTCCTATGGTTTTTCTACGGGTTGGGCATGGTAGCACTGCTAGTTCTAAGGAAGACGCAAGCAGATACTCCTAGACCGTACAAAGTGCCTACTCCAGTGCCATGCTTTGTATTGCTAGTGGCGATATTCTTATCAGTGTTGCCAATCGTACACGATCCATCGCTTAAATATTTGATGGCGGTTGGCTTTATAGTTATAGGAGTAGCTGTTTACACAATATTTGTGTATTATAAGAAAACGCCTACTTATATTTTAAGTAAGTATAATTATATTTAATAACTTTTTTTATTACGCAGTTTAAGCGCGTTTGACCGTAATGAGACCTGAATTATGTAACAGAAAACCTAATAAGTAAGTCATAAAGATCGGAGATCTAAGGTTTTAGAGTCGGCATCAGACACGTGACCCACCTGTTGTTTAGGTTAGGCACCCGTAGTCCATAACCGTTTACCATCAGTTGGGCTGTATGCTTGTTTGCCGCCAGCATAAAGAAAAGTTTTAATTAATACTCTGTAATTTTACTGTGATATCTTAACCTTCAGATTGAAACACGAATGTCAGATGTACAACAGGTGCGACAAACAATGAGATTTATTTAAAGTAAAAATTGAAAAAAGAAACTTTAATAATGTATTATATGACAAACAATATAAGTAATTGAAACTGCTTTATTAAACTCCTACTTATTTTTTTGTGGTTTTCAACTGGCGGTGGCGGTGGCCCTTTTGTAGTTGGCCCCATGTGGGGAAACACTACGTAACTAAGTCGGATTACCATGTCTAATACTTTAAAACACCAATCTTAGGTCTCGCAGCAACCAGTGTTTATAACTAACTTCATAAATAACCTTTTTTTATTTTTTCAGGTAAATTCACATTTATAACACAAGTGCTGTTCCAGAGCGTCCCGCCGAGCGGCAACCGTCAAGACTGAATTAACTATAATATTGCTTAATTAACTGTAAATATTGTCAAGAAATAATTATAAGTGATTTTTACATTAATCTTGCTTTTTTTACCCTTTACTGACCTTTTAATAGCTATATTTTATCAGTAGCGACCTGAATGTACGCATAGTAGAGATTTAAGATTTTAAATAATTAAGTGTTTACTACCCCCTTTCACTCTAAAAAATAGTTACTTCTAATCTGGCAGTCAGAAATAAAAATGTAACTGGTTTGGTAGCCTGTAACCTGTGGTGTGGTAACCTGATGAGAAGATTGATAGGACATGATATAGGCTTTAAAATGTATACAAAATTATATTCGCAAAGATGTAAAATTTTTCTTTATAAAAATTGTGTACCTAATGTTAATTAGATGTACGTACAGTATTTGACTCTACATGACAATCATTATAGTAAGTGATGATACTAGATGCCATTGAAAAGAAAATTTTGCGTACTCTAAAGAGTAATTTATCACGCAGTTTAAAAGAACATAAGATTAAGGAAGATATCCTCTTCTTTTAGATCTATATATATATATAAAAACAACAAGTCTTTAAATTTCAATATATTTAAACGACTGGCGAAGCAACATATGCTACTATTCCAGCTCATGACCAAGACCCATACTGAGCACATGTTAATTATTATATGTTGTCATGACTTTGTAAAAACATAATGGAAATATAAAACTCAATAAAAATTGTTTTATCGTCGAATACTACTTTAGTATAAAATTATAACCGCCTTATTCCAGGTACCAAATATATACCACATATTACCAAATATTCCATCCCAATAATTTTCTTCTTGATTATACTCAACTCAATCACAATTATAAACTATAGAGTTAACTGGATTTTACTAAACCATAAGCAAACTCTTAAAGAACTGGAACTCAGCGCTATGTAAAAATAAAAAAGAAACATTCGACAGTTTCACAGATTAAAAAAGCAGGAATGGTTTCAGCTTAGGTTATGATTTTTTGTTTATTGAATGCATTGTTTTTCAATATAGCGATCAATTGAGGATTTTATTCAAGATCATTGTGCAATTTATGTGAAATACAGCCATGGCGTATCATTATGTTGTTACTGCACAGAAACCAACGGCTGTCACAGCATGTGTTACCGGTAAATACACAAATTGAGTAAAATCAATACTGCATAGGTTAACTATATTATAGAATGTCGAGCTATTTTTACAAACTATTTATACTTTCTGTACATGCATAACGTACTGAATCGGTAGATAAATAGGCCATATATTTACAACAATATTGAAATATATTTTGATTTTCTTATTGTTATGGGAAAACAATTCCGGCGGTTTTGTACGAAAATGTTTGTTGTTGTTTTTAATACATAGTCTCAAACACTGATAAATACAGTTTGCTAATTTTGAATAAAAAAATATGATTTACTCATACTTAGTCATTCTATTCAGTCCTGAACCGACACCTAAACATCAATTCTTATGTTACTTTGCAATGAGTTTAAGCCCATTGAAAAATTATCAGTATATTAGGTTTTACGATGATTTATTACATCCTATTCCTTTATATCACAAGGAAGACGATGTTCCATCGAATGCTAAACAATATGATAAAAGAATAGACTAGTGTCATATACTTGTTGCCGACCCTCATAGAAACTTAATAAGACTTTTTGAAAAAAGAACATGCCATAGTCTGTTTGTTATACAATATATCTCTTTTGGACTATACTGGCTATCTCTAGAAATCCATTTAGCTAATATGTCGGACTATAAGACAGTAAAATTACGGGATCAAATGTATAACACTTAGTCCTTAGTCAACCACAGAGGTAATGCATGAGGTGTAGCTACAAAGTTCTATCCTAAAAGTCATTGTTTTGTTATTCATATATATATGATGTAATGTGAGGATGACTTCCCTGTGGACTGGGGTGGTTAGTTAAAGGTGGTTGTAGGCATCAAAATCTCAGTCACTCACACAAATTTTATATAATTTATATAATACCTGTGGTGTTTGTTATATAGACTGTGGTCTATAATATTGATGTTTATTTATTTATTTATTTATTTATTAGAAAACCAACAGCTCACTACAATCAAATTCATTAATCTACAGTACATATCTAGAGAAAGCCAATAACGGGTTTTCAGTGAATGTTAGCCAGTGTTTTGTTTTCTCAGGCAACTTTACATCACCCACGGACCTCAACCTCCTGGTGGCCAAAGTGTCACGTCTAGAGATGTACCTGGTTACCCCTGAAGGCTTGCGGCCTATGAAAGAAATTGGATTATATGGCAGAGTAGCTAAAATGAAACTGTTCAGACCTCCAGTAAGTAACTGTCAACATTTTAGATTTTCCCTATAAAAAATAAGAACTACTGTTGAACACAGATTTGTTCAAGATTCACATGGATGCACACACATACACACTCAGAGATTTATACTATACTACTAAATAAAGTATATTATAATATACTTCTATTTGCATTATGCAGTAAAAGTAAATCGGTACATTTAAATAAGAATCAATACATTTGTATAAATACAAGAAGGTGGACTTGTTGTTAAAAGCAATTTTGTCAAGGCAACCATAACCTATTTGTTATACTGATGTATAAGCTATATTATTGTAAAGTATAATTAAAATCCATTCAGCAGTTTTTGCAAGAAAAACAAACAACTTTTTACTTTACTACTTTATAATAAGATGACTTCTGTAAAATAACCTTCGGAGTTTCAAATTTCAGTATGAAGACAAAGACTTGGTATTCATCCTAACGGCTCGCTACAATGCTATGATACTAGAATGGAGAACTAGCAGCAGCGGTGAACTGGAGGTGGTGACACGAGCACATGGCAATGTAGCAGATCGTATTGGCAAACCCTCAGAGAATGGCATATTAGTTGTCATTGATCCACAGGCCAGAGTGATAGGTCTGAGATTGTATGATGGACTCTTTAAAATCATACCACTGGATAAAGACTCCACAGAATTGAAAGCTTTTACTTTAAGGTAATTTTTAATTTATATATTTTTTTAAAAATTTAGTAACTATTTAAAAAAATATAAAGTTACTACACTTACTGATTGCAAACATACAGGCAACAAAAAAAAGCAAGGCCCAGTTCAAAGTAGTATAGGAATAAGAAATGTGGAAGGAAATAGGACGCTTTTAATAATAATAATAATATAATTAATTACAACCAGTTGTTGAAAAATTCTTAAACCAAAAATTTTCCTGGATTGACCCTTTCAAGAGTTGGTGATCCCACATGTAGAAAACTTTTTACAGTATATTTCTATACAGCGATGTAAACACTGTTTTTAAGGACAAAAACCTACTTATGAATGTTCAAGGTGATTTGAGAAAGATGTTAAAAACTTGGTAAAAACCATTGTTTACAGGTTGGAAGAATTAAATGTATATGATATAGAGTTTCTGCATGGATGCTCGAATCCCACTTTAATATTAATACATCAAGATTTAAATGGAAGACATATTAAGGTATGACAAACAATGTTCTTATTATAATTTTATTGAATTGTACATTTTAAAATGTATTCAAAAGAGCAATATACAAGTTTTGTGCATGTTCTTCCTGTGATGAGTCTGCTTTCAGAATAATAATAAGGAATATACAAATATTATAAATTATATTCAGAATTGGTAATATTAAGTTTATTTCAAGAATGACTATTACTGACAATGTTATATCAGGTGGTCTAGCATGAAAGAAAATAGCTCTATCAAGAACATTTCCAAGTTTTGAATTGCGCCTAATGATGATTTTATGTTATGTTCTTAATTGAAATTAAAGTTTTTATGTTCCAGACACATGAAATTGGTTTACGAGATAAACAATTCACTAAACCTCTATGGCGACAGGACAACGTGGAAACTGAAGCTTCTATTCTGATACCTGTGCCAAGTCCCCTAGGTGAGATGAGCTACTGTGTTATGCTATATTTAATATGTGTAATCCAAAAATATTTTTGATTTTTGGCAACATATTAATATTTTTTCATACCGTCCAGTTCAGTGTACAGATTCAATTGAGAAGAACTCAACGAAAACACTTACACAGGAGTCTATATCTAACATAAAATTAAAATCCTGTGCAGGAACAACTATTACCATGCACATTTGTGATTTAAATAATTGTTTAGTAAGTAATAGGGTTTGCTCAATGATCAATAAGATGTTAAAACATCTGTTAAATCAATCAAAATAATTTATTTAAAACTAATTCCAGTATATCCTTTGGTATCTTATTATAATTTTTTTACCCATAAATGAGCCATTGACTTTTTTAAATGATACTTAGGAACAACAAGTTTTTAAATCTAGTATTAATGTTTTGGATATGAATTCAGGTGGTGCCATAGTGATTGGTCAAGAGTCTATTGTGTACCACGATGGTCAGAGTTATGTAGCTGTCGCGCCACCACAGATAAAGGTTTGTTATAGCAATACAACCATAGACAACACATTATACTTCTTTTTAATATGTTAACTCTCTTTTGTATTTCTTTTTAATTTGTGTTATTTGTTTGTATGTCTACATTTTTCAAATAAAAGAAAGCCGTCCCCATTATAGAATCTATCTTTATTGCAAATATCATTAAGATCCGTTCAGCCGTTTAAAAGCTAACAAACAAACAGACTTTTGAATTCATAATGTTGTAGCCAACCAGAAATTAAAAGTATGTTTCCATAAAATTTCTGGCTGTATATATATATGTCTATCTTAATGTTTTATTGGCTATATGAATATATGAATGCAATGGTTGTCAATGAATATTTTCTTTCTTTCTAATATAATAAAATTTTATTTATTCATACAGTTGACACCAATAAATTGTTACTGCCGTGTTGACACGCGCGGACTGCGGTACCTATTGGGCGATATAGCGGGCCGCCTGTTCATGTTGCTACTAGAGCTGCAGGAGAAAATAGATGGCGTTCAAGCCGTCAAGGATCTCAAAGTGGAATTGTTGGGTAAGTGGGAAATAGGTATATAGTATTGAGTATATACATTTAGTGCTTGTTTACAAATTATTTACTTGCTTTGATTATGTATAGAATTTATTGACAAAACAACAATGATGTAAAAAAACAAACAACAAAAAATGTGACTGTTTTGTAATATGTGTAAGTTACATATTACAAAAAAGTCACATTTTTTGATAATTGTATAATGCATAATTCCCAGCGTAAATTTTTGGTGTAGAATATATATTATAATAATTTGATAGTTTGTGATTGATTGAAAGAGCAACACGCAAGTTTTTTGCTCGTTCTTTTTTGTGATGAGTCTGCTTTCCGAATAAGCAATAGAATCAAAGAATTATTATCTATATTATAAATGTAGAAATGGTGGTAAGGTGTGAGTGGAAGTGTATAGTGTGTAGGGTCTGTCTACGCTCGCTGATGTGCTTCAGTATGAACAGTGGTGTATAGTGTGTAGGTCTGGATACACTCAATGGTAAGTTAATCAGTGTGAGTGGTAGTGTATAGTGTAATGAAGAGTGATGATGAGATGGATCCGGCAGGCGAGATCCCGATCCCGGAGTGCATGACGTACCTGGACAACGGCGTGGTGTTCGTGGGCTCGCGGCTGGGAGACTCGGCGCTGGTGCGGCTGTCGGCGGCGCGGGACGACGCCGCGCGGTACGTGCAGCCCATGGAGACCTTCACCAGCCTCGCGCCCATCGTCGACATGTGCGTCGTCGACCTCGAGCGCCAGGGGCAGAATCAGCTCATCACCTGCTCCGGTCAGTAACACTCACATTTTTTTGTTTAATTTATTTGTTTCGCAGATATTAAGTATGTTACATTGTCGGGACGCGGTGTTTGTAATCAAAAGAAGAGCTTAGGCGGGCTTGGATTACATAAAAATAGACATTCCCAATTTTTGTGAAATTTTGAGCGCACATCGGGTAGGTATGAGATTCCAACATCTATTTTTAACCGTCCAATGATAAGAGTCATCAACCCCCTAAATATTCTATTAATTTTTTTTGTCATTACTTAATTTTTTTTTATATATATTTGGCATTAAAAATATATATTCTACCAATTGATGAGAGTTGAGACTAAATATGAACTAATTAAAACAACCTCAACGATTGCTTCAGAATCTCTTGATCCATCGAGCCGGATATAAATATAAGAAACAGTGGTTCTATCGTCTCAAATCTGATATATATGTCTAGGTACGTATAAAATGGGCTCGCTCCGAATAATACGCAACGGAATCGGCATTCAGGAGCAAGCGTCAATCGACCTGCCCGGCATTAAGGGCATGTGGCCGCTCACACTGGCGCCAGGTTCCGCTCATCACGACACGCTCGTACTCTCCTTCGTCGGTCAGACCAGGTATTTTATAAAACTTTTAAAAAGTATATTATGTTGTCAATGACCTTGAATTGATTTTCGTTATCTTTTGTCTAGAGTGCTGACTTTGAATGGCGAGGAGGTGGAAGAGACAGAAATCAAGGGTTTCGTATCAGATCGACAAACTTTCTTCACGGGGAATGTATGTCACAACCAGTTGATACAAGTAAGTCAGTAAATTATTCATTATTTATACTAGAGATGTTTACGTTTCGAAGTTCTAAACAGACGTCACATCTTCAATTAAGATACGACGTACACTGTATAACAATAGAGATAGCGGCAGTATACTACTATTTCTGGATACGGTGTAAGGTTGTCGACTTAAGTCATCCTTCGAGTGAGCAGAATGTTAGTGTATATAGTCGCAACGTACACTGCACACAATAGAGACTGCGTCAATACAGTGATATATCGCAGTGCTGTCTACGAACTCCTTTAGAGGTCGCTTTTCACATTTAATCCAATACATAGCCTAAATTTATCGTTCGAGTGGGCGGAAAGTAAACGCGACGGTACCCACAGGTAACAGACGAGGGTATACGACTGATCGCGCGCGGACCGGACGGATGGGCGCTAGCGGCGCAGTGGAGAGTGGGCGGCGCGCGCGGCGTGTCGGTAGTGGCGTGCAGCGACACGCGCGCCGTGTGCGCCGCCGGCCCGCGCCTGCACCTGCTCGCCGTGCGCGACGCCGCGCTCGACCTGCTCGCGTGAGTCGCACCGCACACTACACACTACACACTACACACCGCACACTACATACACACACACGTGTCGGTAGTGGCGTGCAGCGACACGCGCGCCGTGTGCGCCGCCGGCCCGCGCCTGCACCTGCTCGCCGTGCGCGACGCCGCGCTCGACCTGCTCGCGTGAGTCGCACCGCACACTACACACTACACACTACACACCGCACACTACATACACACACACGTGTCGGTAGTGGCGTGCAGCGACACGCGCGCGGTGTGCGCCGCCGGCCCGCGCCTGCACCTGCTCGCCGTGCGCGACGCCGCGCTCGACCTGCTCGCGTGAGTCGCACCGCACACTACACACTACACACTACACACTACACACCGCACACTACATACACACACACGTGTCGGTAGTGGCGTGCAGCGACACGCGCGCCGTGTGCGCCGCCGGCCCGCGCCTGCACCTGCTCGCCGTGCGCGACGCCGCGCTCGACCTGCTCGCGTGAGTCGCACCGCACACTACACACTACACACTACACACTACACACCGCACACTACATACACACACACGTGTCGGTAGTGGCGTGCAGCGACACGCGCGCCGTGTGCGTATACACGTTTGCACCGTAATTATTCGGTTTTTTTATTACTGTTTAATATACTTATTTTCTATACAGTGAAGTTTGCATGGATGAAGAAGTGGCCTGCTTAGATCTCGGTCCTGGTGGTGATGATGCACTACTCGGTGTCGGATTATGGACTGATATATCCATCAGGGTGCTCAAACTACCAGATCTACGACCACTACATATCGAGAAATTATCTGGTGGTGAGTATATACGATGTTTTTGAACTAATCACCACGTAGCACATGTTTTAATACTACAACCATTTTTAAGAAAAGAGAGAATGGCATTTGAACTTTTGCTTTCATAGAATATTATACAGTTTTTTTTACTGCCCAGAAATAATACCCCGGTCACTGCTGATTTGCGTACTTGAGGGCATCTGCTACCTGCTGTGCGCACTAGGCGATGGTTCTATGTTCTACTTCACAATGGATCCTGTCACCGGTGTACTCTCCAGCCGCAAACGGGTCACTCTTGGCACACAGCCTACCGTACTACGCAGCTTCCGGTAATACATATTCTGTTACTATGTTATCTACATATATACATAAAACATCACACATTGTGTATTTTGTAAAACAATTATTTCAAATAGAAATGTTACGAATTTAGGTGTTAATCAATTTTGATATTAGAATATTTAAAGATTGATTTTCGAATGCATTAATTTCCTATCGCATGTAGTACACAATCTAGTGACAAAATTTGGTTAATCAGGTTTAATACACTTAGTCCTTCCCATTTCGACGGTATTTGGGAAGCTGATATTAAATCAATGAAATTTCACCCTACAGTTATACGGAATCTTTCAATAATTCCTATCTTAGCGTTAATACCTTTACCCTATTATTTGATAGATCGCTGTCCACCACTAACATATTCGCGTGCTCGGACCGGCCTACAGTGATATTCTCATCGAACCACAAATTGGTGTTTTCCAATGTCAACCTCAAGGAAGTGACGCATATGTGCTCACTGAACGCGCTCGCGTACCCAGACAGGTGAGACGATACTATACTATCAACTCTATTATAATACACTGTAATACCACCATCTACACCTGTGTCGAACTGCACAACCGAGGTGTGAGTTCTGGTCTACTCAGATATAGCAGTTCAGTTCCTAGGCTCATACAATCATAAATTGTTTACGAAAATGATTTAAAACCTGTATATTATTGTAGCCTAATAAGTGTATTACTATTACACCATTAATTGAATCCGTCATAAATGATTGTGGCTTAATAAGTTTATAATAATAATACCATTGATTGAATTATCCGGCAAATACTAAAAGATACATAATTGTTTCATCATAATAGAATGGAATTGATATAATCTTTATATTGTATTTTTATTGATATAACCTCCAAATTTGCATTTACGATCGTCCAAGAAGAATAAGCCGAAATAGAAATATAAATAATCTTTATTCAAATAAATTTAAGCACTTTTGAATAGTCACATTCTTTTTATTATACCACTCATTCGGAACGCAGACTCTTCACAAGAAGAGTGAGTAAGAAAGAAAATCTTGTTTATAATGATTTAAATATGTGATGTACAGTTTGGCGTTGGCAACAGACAGTACGGTGACCATCGGCACCATAGACGAGATACAGAAGTTGCACATCCGTACCGTGCCGCTAGGAGAGACGCCTCGGAGAATCGCCTATCAGGAGGCCTCACAGGTAGACTTAATATTATAGTATTTGTAGCCCGGGTCCCCACTAACATACTGCCCACCTTCATGAAGGAGGACTACTGGTCAAAGATTTCGGCGTTACCGTGGCAGATAGTCGTCTTCAGTGCCGGGGCCACAAAAACAAATTTATATTAGTACTAGTTGACCCTGTTGTTTTGCCATATAGATTAAAATGGTTATTAAAAGATAGGTGCAAATTTAGGGTTGAATTTATATTTTAACAACATAAAATTTTAATAACATAATAAAAAAAAAGTTCTGTAGATATAAAAACATGCGCTCTGCTACAATAAACGTCTACAAGCATCTCTCTTTATTTTTATTCATTACTAGTTGAACCCGCGAACTTCGTTTCGCCTTAAAATTAAATATGTCAATGGTTTTTTCAAGTTTTTTAGTTACGCAATAAATTTCTGAACGCTATGTTTGACAGATATCAGCAGTTTGTATTGGAAAATATAATTGTTGTTTTTATTTTTCTCTATGCAATTTCTTCATATTTTATCACCGTTTAAATCTTCCCTGGACCTCCATGAATATTTTAAGACTAAAATTAGCCAAATCGGTTCAAGCACTTTTGAGTAGTCGATAACAAAATTATTTTCTTAATCTACCGCGAGACTTACGAACCGGAATTCATTTATATATACATATATATTACTGTCTCGAATAAATAAATATGTGGGGGTTCGGTTCTTGCAGACGTTCGGCCTGCTGACGATGCGCGTGGACAAGGCGGAGTGGGGCGGCGCGGAGGGCGAGGGCGGCGCGGGGGCGGGCGCGGCGGGGGCGGCGGCGGGGGCGGCGGGGGCGGGGGCGGCGCGGGGCAGCGCGTCGACGGCGGCGGCGGCCACGTCGGGCGCGGCGCCGCAGCCCGCCAAGCACGCGCCGCACGCGCTCGACGTCGAGCTCCACAACCTGCTCGTCATCGACCAGCACACCTTCGAAGGTACGCAGCGCGGACTCGGTCCATTGAAACGCCGATTACATCTATTGTTTTTTTTTTAATATATACGTACATCATATACTGGTCGCTCTATTCTTCCAAATTTGAATTTAAATGAATCTGTATTATTGTAAATATGTACATTTAAAATAAATAAGAGCTGAGTTTCTTGTCAGTACTTCTCATCTCGAAATCGTTCCGAACTGACGGTAGATTTTTGACATATCATAAGTGTCTGTAATAGACCTACATAAATAAAGATGTTTTGAATTTGAATTATTCAATCGACCAGCATACGTTTAAAGGTCAGCATCGCGCACATGACGCTCCTAGTGTTTCAAGCGTCTATGGCTATTTACCATCGGATGGACTGTATGCTTGTTTGCCATGTAAGTGATATAAGAAGAAGGTACCGAAACCCGTACGTAGACGGAGTACGAGCTCAGTCTAGCGGATTAGTGAATGATTTATTGTAATCATTTGATTGATTAATAAAAAGGTTTTGCTGAATAAAACCGCCTTGATTGAATGCTGCTCGAACAGTAATTTCATATAGTTTGACGTGTATGTTAAGTATAAGTTTATTATTATAAATGTATATTTATACACAAGGTCTGCTTAGCTAGGAACTAGATAACGGTCTGTGAATGCCAACATATTTGTATATATTTAATCACATTTCCAACTAGTTAAAACCTCTAAAATGGATAAGGTATATGAAGCCTAGTGAACATCAACTGCGGCTTCAAGGGTGGGTTGCGGAACAGGACCATCACAAACTTTTAATTTTATTTTTACAAAAATAGACCTTATGCTGTACAACTTTAAGGTCTAATTTAACTACTTTAGAAGTTTTCAGCCAGAAGGAAGTGATTGACGAAAGTAAGTCCTGGCTCGGGGGCTATTTGCATGATTATTTATTTCGTCTGGACGTTTTCTATGTATTCACAAAAAAAATCTATTTCAGTATTTATATCAGTTATGTGACGCATCGCTACCTCAGCGAAAATTGCTCATTGTTAGTAATTTTAGACATAACCATAGCACCCCTAAGCTCTGCTTAGTTAGAAATCAGACAACCCTATGTAAATTCTCCTAAGTTATTATTCTTTGCAATCTGTTAGAAGTTGGAAATAAGGCAAAATATATTGCTGTAGTAACTTGTTATTATTTCGAATAAGAATATAAACTCGTTTGTTTCAGTTCTCCACGCGCATCAACTCATGTCATACGAGTTCGCCTTGTCTCTGGTCTCGTGTCGGCTGGGGGACGACCCCAACCACTACTACGCGGTCGGCACCGCCTTAATCAATCCCGAAGAATCAGAACCTAAACAAGTAACAATTTTCTTTTCACTTATTTTATGTGACTGGTAGGACCAATAAGCTGATAGTCTATTTGGTGATAAGATGGAAACTGGAACATAGTTATAAAAAGGACCACAGTCATCTCATATTATAACACCCGTGGTACCTCATTGCAATAACTAAGGTGTCAATCCAATAGTCAATAATTTGATTGCCATACCTTTGTGAGCACACGTTACAAAGCAAGCTGTTTGATGTCAATAATAGTCCAGTTCTTCTTCTTCTTTTAGTTTAAATGGCTTCCACCAAATGAGGTCGGTGATTTTGCCAACGTCGTGGTTTGGGAGACACAGTGGTGTGGTTTACGGTTTTCTTGACTGTGTTCGTAGAAAGGACTGTTTCAGTTGGCTGAGAATGCTAAAAATAAGGACAACACAACACATGTTAGCTTACAATTAAAATAGTGGTTAAGTAAAATACATGTACAATAAAATATATGTAACAGATTGACAAACATGACATAGACAAGGATTTTAAAATATGGGGAATATATACAAAGGGGGTTATATTTTTATATTATTGACAGCAATAAATTTGGCTAGTATTTTAACTAGAGGGGAGTGGGCCAGTGTTAAAAGAAAAGGAATATTAATAGGTCTGGCAATATTACGGGGAAGCATATCGTAGAGTGGAACTGACAGGTTTTGACATGTGAATAGTCCAGTTATCTTTGTAAGAACATCTCGGAATTAAGATACCCGCCTATAAACTTGTATTTTAACGTTCAAAAAGGTGTCTCAAAATATTCATATGATAGGGTGTATACATATAGGTGTGAAAATACGAAATTATAGGAGTTTAATTTATTATTATTACTAGCTACTCGCCCCGGCTTCCTGTACCTAATACATGTACACCCGCATGTATTATACATATAAACCTTCCTCTAGAATCACTCTATCTATAAAAAAAACCGCTTCAAAATCCTTTGCGTAGTTTTGAAGATTTAAGCATACATAGGGACGTATAGACAGCGACCGCAACTTTGTTTTATACTATGTAATGATAGTGGCTGGGTATCTCAAATTTTGAGAAATAATTACCTAATTTATACTAAGATAACTGGACTATAAATGAAACGAAGTTTATTACGTTCTACCTTTATGAATTAAGTTACCTAGATGCATTTAAATAAATAATCATAGAAAAGTTAAATACATGAACCAATTGTGCAGCTAATTATAGTAAAAAATAAATTGTATAATAATATAAAAAATCAATATATGTAAAAAAAAATACTGTATTGAAAAAGTTGAATAAAGGCTTCCTTATCTTTATTAGATGCATTTAAAATATGTCAATAAATTAATGAAACATTTCTATAACAGGGCAGACTCCTGCTATTCCACTGGTCGGAGGGCAAACTGGTACAAGTGGCAGAGAAGGAAATCAAGGGCGCGTGCTACTCGCTAGTTGAATTTAACGGGAAATTATTAGCATCTATAAACAGTACGGTCAGTGTATAATACTTTTAATTCATTTATACGAGTACTATTAATAATAATTGGACAATTCTCACGGCTCCATCTTGTCCCAAGCTGAGAGCTGGTGTTTTGGGTACTAGATATTGGGAAGTTTCAGAAATGATACGTCGTTATGGTATACATAAATTGCGTTACTGTATCCACGTGTGGTCGTCTCGGTGGCCTTGAACAGAAAGACGCCAACTCCCTTTCGCCTTCCCATATAAATACCCTATGCGTATTAGTGAGGGACGACGGTGGCGCCACCAATGCTTCGTGACATTACAAATTAGTCAAATGATTACTCTAAATTTATATACTGAAGACAACATAGATAACTGATATACATACATAAATACATTTTTTTGTAAATACATAAGTATGATTGTATACAGACCGTATACAATAATACTTATGAATAGAAATGTTTGTAACGTGAGAGGAATCGAACCCGCAACCATCGGAATTAAAGCGGTGTGCTAAACCGCTAGACTTAATCATCAGATAATAAATGATGATAATGGAACGGTAATAAAAAAAGTAACCTAAACGTATTTATTAAAGATTTAAGTGTGGTGCTTTTGAAAAACCAATTTGTTAAAATTTGCCCGTCCAATTCGGACGGGGATCGTAATTACGGACGGCCTGAGCCGAGGCCCGAAGCTCTAGCTCGTCGGTCCTCGGACTTAGGTTGTATCTGTGAGGAAGGATTTGACCCTCAGCTACTCCGTAAGTACTTCCACGGGTTTGGAGTGAAGCACTCTCTCTCTTTAGGTGATGCTGTAAAGGCCAGCTGCGGTCAACTGCATTAGAATAGTTAAAAAAATAGTTTGCTATTACAGGTGCGGCTATTCGAATGGACATCAGACAAGGAATTGCGACTGGAATGCAGTCATTTCAACAACATAGTGGCATTATTCCTGAAGGTCAAAGGAGATTTCATACTCGTAGGCGACCTGATGCGCTCAATGTCCTTATTACAATACAAACAAGTAAGTTTTAAAATAACTAAATAACTCTGGACAATTAACACAACGCCATCTAGTCAAACGGTGAGCAGAACTTGTATTATTGGTACTAGACAACTAATATATACATAGAAAACACCTAGACTGATAAACAATCATACTCATGAATACATATGTTTGCATTGTGTGAGAAATTGAATCAGCGACCATCGGATCAAAAGCGGTGTGCTAAATCGCTAGACCACCGAGGCCGTCAGATATAATAATAATATGCTATCACGAACGTTATTGCTGATGGGGTAGACTGGCATTGTCAAATGTAAACGTCATAGTGAACGCAACTTTTGATATGCACGAATTTCGCAAGCTATAAGGGGTAAGGGAATTGCCAGTAGTATAGATTAATAATCCTATTGCTAGCAATGTAATGTCAGGTCTACCTCCACATGAGATAGCAGGGGTGATATAAGACAATATTAGACATTGTCTTATAACACCCCTGTTTTCTCTGTAATGTTTCATGAACACAATCAAATGTTTCATTTAAGTGGGCCGTTCAATTGTTTGCCTTCATATATAAATTAAACATTAATGTCTTGATTTATACGTTACTAGCTACCCGCCCCGGCTACACACTGGTGTACATGTATTATTGATATATATGAATTAAAACGTCCGACTTATTATGTAGCTCAGTTATTACTCGCTGTTAGAATATCAAAAACAAATGAACATCTTTTCTTTAGGAGAAAACACAAATACATTTTCTTATATTAAAAGAGGTTTACATACGCATTAATTATACATATAAACCTCCGTCTTGAATCATTATTTATTGCTAAAACTGTATTAAAATACGTTACGTAGTTTAAAGGTTCTAAACGAACAGACAGCGGAAGCCACTTCATTTGAAACGAAATGATGTCATGTTCAGATGGAGGGCAGCTTCGAAGAGATCGCTCGAGACTACACGCCCAACTGGATGACCGCCGTTGAGATTCTGGACGATGACACCTTCCTCGGCGCAGAGAATAGTTTCAACATATTCGTCTGTCAGAAAGACAGGTCAGTATGATTTTTAGCCATATCTTCTTCATGAATTCCGCTAGAAAATATTGAATTGACGGTTCAGCAACAAGTAAATGTGACCAAGTCTCTCCCTGTTGAAAACTTCTAGAACTTTCAGAGAGGACGTAACTAGATCCTGACGCAGGTACAAATGGACTTTGAAATAGTATATTTTTATTCTACCGCCACATTGGTAATGCAAATTCATCTAAGAAGAATATAAGAAACTTTATTTCTTAAAGTTTCTTATATCATCTGACATCATTATTTTCATTATGGAGGACTACGCAGCCAAGCCTGGATACCCTGAAATTTCACTGCTATATCTTACCCTTCAAACGAGAACACAGTTTACAAGCAAGCAGCTGTTCTTCGTAGACCACTTAGATGATTATGTTCAGTGTCTGTCTATTTATATTAGTTTTAAAATATATACAGTCGACTAGATTTAAAATTTGTACATTGGTTTAGTCTTAAAATTTGTCACAATGGATTAATTTGAAATAGCTGTTGCGATGTAGCTCTGGAAAGCCTGCGCGCGTAACCGTGAGGGATTGATTGCGTTATAATTTTTTTTGGTTCACTCTTTAGCGCGTATTTATGAGTATATTTCATGTCATTTCATTTGCTTTTAAAATGTTTTTTATTTCTCAGATTTAATTTTCCAGAGATAAGATTTATAAATAACTCTATAACTATGTCTTTGCTCTATAGTCAGATATCCGCTATTTTACAATGAAAATAATTAATTTAAAAATAATAGACAAGAAATATAAAGAATAATAGAGTTAAAGCTGGCAAGCTTTCTCATTCTCTTTGTCTAAATTTACATGCACATTATTATCTGCGGGAAAGAGTAGCTAGCTTATATTCGTGTTGCAGTGCGGCGACGACGGACGAGGAGCGGCAACAGATGAGCTACCTGGGGCAGTTCAACGTCGGCGACATGGTCAACGTGATGCGGCTCGGCTCACTGGTGGGGCAACACGCAGACACCGCCGCGCCCGTCACCAACCCCGTGCTGCTGGCCACCGTCACCGGCGCCATCTGTGAGTGACACCCCGCTCCACAGCCCCACAGCCATCGGAAATAAGATGGTGTTCTAAACCGCTACATCATCGAGGCCGGCAAATATCACGCTTTAAGTGTAACACTTCGATACTAATAATTGTCTACTGCAACAAAGCTAAATTCATCTAACTAATGTTACGGCCGATTCGCTAATAGATGGCGCTGTTTGATATGACAATTTTAATTTCCAGGTCTAGTTGTTCAATTATCACAAGAACTATACGAATTCCTACACAAACTAGAAGAAAGATTGACCCACACGATAAAATCAGTCGGCAAGATCACCCACGTGTTTTGGAGATCGTTCAATACAGATATAAAGACAGAGCCGGCGGAAGGGTTCATAGATGGAGACCTTATAGAGAGCTTCCTAGATCTGTCCAGGGAGAAACAGCTAGAAACAGTTAAAGGTTTGCAGGTGAGTTATTTTCTAATATATAGTATATATTATACATATTTTTAAACTTTTGCATTTAGTACATCTTACTAATATTATAAACGCGAAAGTTTGTGCATGGGATGAATGTGTGTTACTCTTTCACGCAAAAACTACTGAACGGATTTTGATGAAAGATACATATGGGGTGAAAAGGCCTTCCATTACTTGCAACATATAGCGCATAGTACATAAGGGGAAAGAGCATTGTTAGTAATGTGTACTAATAGCCCCATTGCTAGCAATGTACCATGTCAGGTTGACCTACTAAATTTGTGGTAAATTTATCATATTTCCATTAACAACCATAAGAAAATAAGTTGTACGTAGATATTAATATTCTTCATTCATTTAAGAACCACGCTCTTGTCGGCGGAGCTCTTGTCACTTTCCACGATCTTTTATCTTTTTCTTTATATGTTGACATACTTACATATTAAAATTGTAATAACCAAGACGTTAATACAAATTATTGCAGATCGACGATGGTGGCGGCATGAAGCGAGACGCGACAGTTGACGACCTTATCAAGATAGTAGAAGATCTTACTAGAATACATTAGACCGTTATAGTAATTCAGTTGATTTAATAAATACTTTATGTAATACATACGCTGTATTTTATTTCATCTGTGTACTAACTGACATTTAACTATGAACTATTTCATAAACCAAACTGGCATCGAATCTCTCTGCATTCCCTAAGGTTGGCTGGTATAGGATGCTATTAGCATTAAGCCCGAAGATTATTGTACAAAATTCATTGTAAAAAAAATTGTTTTAAATAAATATTGAATTCGAGTTAACATAATTAATAAAAAATAATCGGCTATTTCTCATACCCCTAAGTGATAAGGGTTGTCCACCAAACATCTTATTTTTATTATTTTATATGTGCATTAAAAAATACAACCTAAATTTTCCTCATCAGTCACTAACCCCAATTTTTAATAGCGATTTTAATTTTTATGGCATAATTTTTTTGCCATATAAATATATTTAATTTATATGGCAAAACAACGTTTACGGCGCCAGCTAGTAGATACATAATATCCATATTGACGCTCAGATCCATACTGTTGGTAATCACCCAAATTATACTTGTGAACATAAATGTTTGTACCGCGCGAGGAATCGAGAAATTCATCGGAAATAAGGCGGTGTGCTAAAACTAGAGCACCAGCGCCATAAAATAAGGTTTTAACATTTAGTAAAACAAGTATTTTTCCGTAAAATTTAATTTAATATTATACAATATTATATACATCCTTCTTGTTGTTTTGTACATAAATTAATCGCCTGCAATATTGCTGGACGAAACTTACAAGGCTTACACTCGCTTTATACATTAATTTTTTTATACACAATGCAGTATAAATAAATATTACATCTCATTCTTTCGACTTCAATTATTAATTTGAAATAAAGTAACATAAAATGCACGTTTTTATAAATAATTTACAAGTTCATTGTATCTGATATAACCTTTACATTAAACATCTATCATTACAAATGCTTCTGAACCCTGTTCTAATGTGGCAAAAACACCATATATTAAATTCTAATTTATATTATGCACTTAGATATTTATAGCTTTAGTCACAAAAAAAAACCTGAGCAAGAGTGCATCATATTTATTTACCTCCAATTCCAATCCAAAAGGGGCCGTTCAAGTATTACGTAAGCACTATAGGGGGGCGGGGGGTCTTTTCTTTGCTTATTTTGGATGACATGGGGGTGGGGGAGTCTGTATGATGATTACGTCATCGGTCGTAATTTAATTTTTTTACACGAATGGCAACCCTCACATTGTCTTTGCTAAAAAAACAATACATTAATTGAGAAATGTTTACGTAAGCATGGGGGGAGGGGGTAAGAGCTTTGCTTACTTTTGCTGACAAGGGGGATGGGGGGTAAATAATTGTGATAAATCTGCTTAGGGTTAAAAAAAAACATGTTTAAATTAGACATTGCAGGTACACCGCCAGCAGTCTTCTTACGTGAAGCGGACTATACGTAATATAAATTAAATTCATAAATTCAGTTTTGAAAATTAATTCTCTTTATGACCCGCGAGCTAGGTCAACATGAGCAATATACAATAGGTGATTTTCTACAGGGAGGTAATAATTGACTAAAAAAGCTTCTGGCTCGCACTATTAGTACAATATGACGGACATAACCCCGTTAGCCTTAAAACTTCCGCAACAATACTGCCACGTAACGGTTACAAGTCATTATGTAGATACACACTTTAAGAAAACAGGCAAAGTGCGAGTTGGACATCAATGCGAACGAAGTTTATATATTCTTTTTAATAAAATTTTATATAAATAATTATGATAGACAAATCCTCTGCAACATGAATGTAATAAGGAACCTTATGTTTCGACTTTTTAAAATCCACTTTACATTTCATTGGAACCATTGAGCAGATTGAATCTGAACTGAATCTTGAACAGTTTTTAAATCAAAGAACAATATAAGTTTTAAATACCTTATTCTACAAATCAAATTTAATGAGAAGTCTACTAGACGACTCATTACTTGAAATAAACATATAAATAAATTATATTTCATATAACAACTACATAACAAATTAACTAAATGCATTATACTTGTGACCTATAAAGTACCAAACTATACTAAAAGTAAATAAACATTTTTATCTTATATGTATATAAAGCGTCACGCACACGAATGTTGTGTTCTTTAATGCCTACTAAAAGCGATACAGAAAAGAGAAGTGTCAAATTTACAACAGACAACAGTACTAGTATTTGTCGAGGTTTTTAAGGCCGATCAAACAGCTTCTTTATTGCTATAGTACGTAGCAGTGGCCTCCCGATACATACAATTCCTCAGAAATGCTTCTGAAAGAACAGGCTACTTATGTAGTCACTGCTCTATACACATGTTTTAAATTGGAACTAATTCCGTAAAGGGACTCCAATGTACTATAATATTTGAATTCTATTCTAATATCTATAATTTTATATAGTAATTGATATCCCAAGAAAAACGCAAGATGTGCACACTATAAGAACGAGATTTACTTATACTAATTTCTAATGACTGCACTAGTAATAGATGGTTCTAATTGTGTGGATGACGCTTAATACACGCAGACCTTTTTTAACTCTATTTGTTTAAAGATTTTAAATACAAATATGAGTAAGGTCATTGAGTTTGTCTATCAAAAATGTGTACACGATATTTGCACGTGATCGTAAGGAGTATATTAGATATTTCATTACATACGTTAGTTTTCGAGTATATCGTCTTTGCATTTTCCACAAGTTCTTTCGAAACTCCTGTGAGAAGAGAATGTATTATGACTATATAACATGTAAGATTTATAATGGAAATAGTCTTCAGAATGGGACTTTAACATACTGGAATGATTAAATTGCAGTTCCATTCTAAACAACAAGTGTTTTAAAAAAGACTTTAAATTCCAATACTTATACATTTCTAATTAGCTCTCAAAATAGATAGCAAATAGTGCATAGTAATGAGTGCACGTAACATTTTTCATGCGTTTATATAAAATATTTGTACTAAAAATAATTAAGTTACATATACATGTAACTTAATTATTATTAGTACAATACAAATGCTTGCACGCTAAAATGACCTCTATTATGCAAGGGTTAAGTATAAAAAGTGTATCTATCTCACCATTTCACGACTATACAGCTAAAGTACTAAGAATTTTAACAATGCTTTAGAACTGCAGTAAGTTCTATATTGGAATATATACATATTCCAGTATAGAACTTACTGCAGTTCTAGACAAGCCAATATCATGTCATTTAATATTTGTTGTAAGTGTATAAAAAGGCACATGCTATGTGCAATCCAATGTTATTGGATAGAAATTAGTCACTAGAATAGATTGGCTGGTCTTAACAGGTCGTTAGGAATCATCTATTATTATCTATTACCGTATTATGCACCTACTTTCTGTACTTGTCCGCTTTATTACGTAGGAACCACATTAAAGAAAAGAGACAAGCTGGCGGGCTGGTCAGTGGTCCCGGCGAGTTGACCATGGCCTCTATTTCGGGGATTGTTTTCTCTACCACTTCTATTATTTCATCGTCCACACCACCACCTGAAGAGCACAAAATTGAGTTTAGGTTACGTGAACTGTTTGTTTTTGTAGTGATGTGACCAAATAACCTTGAAACAGCGCCGTTTGATGTGGTTTGAATTTTAAAAACTATATATGTACTTCAGTTCAAAGTTACATCGCCCATTCGATCCGCGCAAACTTTAAGCGGCCACACTGTACTTTATTAGCAATTACAACACTAATTAAGATGCAAAATAAGAGAAGATAAATTGATTGTGAATAACTAAACTAGTCCTTGACTAACTGTAAAAACTACACTGAAAAATCTTTATTTATTACAACTGAAATGTATATAGATATATAAAACTTATTGTGAACATTTTAAATGTTTTATTTATATACTAGCTACCCACTCTGGCTTTGCACATGTGTACATGTATTATACATATAAACCCTCCTCTTGAATCACTATCCATTGTTAAAAAGTGCATAAAATCTATTAAAATATCTAAGCAATTAGACAGACCTCTTCATTTATACTATGTGAAGATGTGTATAATGTATAATACAACATGTTTCTATGTCTGTTGGACATAGAAACATTTTGTATTATACATGTTATATTATATGTGATGAAGGTCTTAGGACACAAATCATAGTGATGTTCAACTTACCTTGTTCTGTTTTCATATCATCAGTCACTTCACAATAGTATAGTGTTTGGAGAGCTCCCTGCACACCAACACCAGACCTAAAACACAAAATAACAAAAATTATTATGAATAATGGTACTACTACCATACTTGGGGCTGGTTATTTTTTTAAGCTTTTTTTTATTCAACCTACCCTCGGACCCACTCACTGGACATAATAAAACTGTTTGAACCTTCTTAGAAGGTGGAGAAAATATTTTATGAAATTAACCTGTGGTTCTGGAGCTAGTATTATAAGTACAAAGTGTATTACTTTGTCGTAATGCAAATTGCATAAACTAACATTATACATTTTATCCCACAAATTTGTGATATACATATAATTTATATTGCAAAGCTATACAGCGAGTATTAGAGAAATCATATATTCAACTCTGAACAAACATGAACTAAATTAATTAAAAAATTATATATATACATATATCAAGGACATTTTCTCAAAATGGTAACAGTAAGTGTAAATGGGTCAAATATTTACCTGTATGAAGTAACTTTATGCAAATCTTTGAGCTCAACATTATATCCACACTCTTCCAGCACTTCCTCTCTTGCAATCTCATCTATCGACTTATTCTTGTCTATGATACCCGCACACATCTCTAACGCAACACCCAATGATGCTGGATACTTATTTGTGTCTATAAAGTCTGCCTGTCTATCTTCAGGTTTTATACAGTTATAGTAAATAGCTGAAATTAAAGTAAAAATCAAAGACTAGTAGATTAAGAAACTTATTTCATTTTATATTGTATGTGTCAGCTCCAATATATTTTATTTGCTATTGTTTATGGATTTTACAACATTTTAGGGTTCCAATCTATTTAGACAGACATGTAAAAAAAATATAGTTTTAGGATACATAATACTGTCTACTAATAAACTATTTGATATTACATAAAGAAATATTGTTTTCAGACCACAATGGTGGAAATTAAGCAAAAGCTAATAGAAATGGTAACCATAAACTATGAACACAAAATACTCTCCTGGCAAAACTTCCTGTTCATTCCACAATATCAAGGTTTATTAGCACTAATATTAAAACTATGACTAGAGTGGTAACTAGAGCTACCTTCCTTGTTTATTCTATCACTCAGAAAAATATTTAAAGTGTTAAATAAATAACAGTGACAGTGTTTGTTTCGTGTTGTGTACCTACTCGCCCGGTCTCTAAAACCTCACTGTCCGAGAACACTATAGTATATATGGTAGGAGTTAAGATGTGGGTATGAATTCCCTGTCGATGGCGAGCTGTGCGATGGTAAAAAGTAGCTATAGGCAATAGTATAGGTTAAAATAAAAGCAATTAATACCTGGTCGAAATTGCTTGACGAATATCATAACCCTTCTTGTAACATTAAATACTATAATTACCACACTATCGTGAACCTCTAGGATGTCCCAAGTCTTTTTCATGCCGTTCTGAGTGTAATTAAACCTAAATGGTTTTACGTAAGGGGAATCAGGCAGTGGACTGAAAAAAACATCCTTAACATCTTCCATTGTATTCAAACTTGTACCTACTTGGACCTCTATAATATAAATATAATGGCAATTAGATTAAAAAGTATGATGTATATTATTTATTCTATAATTTTCTTTATGCCAAAAAAATATTCAATTCTAAATTTTCCTGTGAATTTAGTGTTGTGTTTGACAAATACTTATAAATCGATTATAAATTATTATTTATCGATTATATGTTCAATTCAAAGATAATCAATGATATTCAGAACGATATTCCATTATCATCTGCTTCTTCTATCACACATTCATTTGGGGGTCAGCGTAATATGTTTTTCTCTTCTATTTATCCCTCTTCGCACTCATCTTAACGAGATGACTACGAACATCACAGAACACCAATATCCTATTCACTGCCGTTCTTGCCATATATTAAGGCTAGAACGGCAGTGAATGCTTTCTTTAAAATATTATTTCATTATTACCAATATTTCATTAAATTTTCTTAATCCTGAAAAGAAGAATCGTAATGTGAAGTGATTTGAAAACATGATAATTTATATTACATTTAAAGGAATATATATTTTACTAATTATTTTATATAGGAAATATTATGCGGTAAGTGTTCAATTAATTTATTTTTATTAGTAATACCTGTGGTAATACATAATCGTTTATCGTAACAATAAATTTAGTACCTCACTATGTCGATTAGTGTCACATAGGAATGTCATAGCTGTACAGACCGAGTGTTATTGCCTTTCCTAAATCGGGAAAAACGGAACCAAAATAAAAAGGATGTCATTCTAAGTCAGTCAGCACATCATTACTTGTGCTACCCTGTATGCTGTATTTCGACTTGATTTTGACCAAGGAACATAATACTCTAAAGAGAAGAAGGGTAACCTAGTACAAAAAAAATGGGAAATACTCCAATACCACTAGCGCTACAAATTCCGCACGGAATATTTTAGCACTAATAGTGGAGGGAAATTCAAATATTTTGTGTTTATAATTTTATTACTCAAGTCTTTAGACGGTCAAGAGCTTCATCAAACACGGATATTTTGCCTTTAGGAACAAAAAAAATCAGGCAAATGTAGCCTTGAATGGCAAAAATAACACGTGCTTGATCAAGCTGTTGGCCGTCTACAAGCTTCATAAGAACTACCATACCCTGATGGATAAAATGGCAGAGAAGCCGTCATAAACATTAGTTAACTTTACAAATTAAAAATGTTTAAATTTTAATTTATAAGATTAACTGGCGCTTATGAAAGCAGGTCTAAAAGCATTAAAATAAAAAGTATATTTCATGTATTCTTGGAGATAAAATAAGAACAAAGATTTTGATTTTCTTTTATTAGTTTCATTCCATTTGCCCGTTCATTTGAGTGGCGTGTTACGCTTACATAGAATTCAATATCTTGACCCTAAAAATAAAAGAAACTACTTTTTTTACACATACTGAATACATACAATCACAAAATAATACAAAAACGAACAAACTTTTATATATCAATTTCTAAATTAATTTATTTAGGAATTGTATTTATGTACTTTATGTACACATAATATACTGAATCTATTAGGTTGTCAGAAAACAGTGATAACACTGTGTTAAAACTACATAGTAATTATAATTTAGGACTACTAAAATCATTATTATTATTTACTGTTACAATGGTGTTTTATTAGCAATAACGTTCATAGTTTGCATTATGTATGAACCATGTGAAGGGTATAAGGCAATGAACAGGGAATATTACAGTTTTTGTTTTCTTTCGTTTTGTACTAATATCTATATTAATGGTGGCTAATTATTTATCTACGGGCGAAACGAAAGGAACTGGGAATATCCATGACATTCTGGTATACTTTAATAATAAAAAATTGGTTTTGTTTGCTTATTTGCAACATAACATTTGATAACTTCTAAACAATAAATTGCGATTTTCTTGTAATACATTAATTAGGTCATTCCCGGTTCTGTCTGTATGCTATATATATATATATATGACAGTGGCAGATACAAACTAAATTTCGGAACTACAGTTATCAGTGTTTCATACATATTAAACATTTAAATATTTTAACAGCGTTATGTAAATAGCCCTAATATGAACTACATATTTCTATTTATAGATATGGCGCTGTAAATTTATTTGTATTTTCTTTTTTCAGAGCGTTGTGTTAGATATATTACAGTTTTTTCATGTAGCGGTATACAATAAAAATAATCTAAGAATAAACAGGACTTTATTAACTATGTTTATTGTATCCAAGTAGCAACGACAATAGCTATTTGTTAAAGGCGACAATTTATACAAAACTGAATGTTGTATGTATTTTATATGAATTGAAACAAAACATTTGGAAAAAATTTTGGATGTTTCAAGACGGTTAATGTAATGTGTACATTTTATTCTACATATACCCTGCATAAGGGATTGCAGCTAGTTTATTAGCAAGTTACCACTTTCTATTATAGAAAATAGTAAGAAAAGAACAACCGAGTACCACAGAGTACAATAGCTAAAACAGGTTTATAAGACAGCGTTTTACCTCCATATTCATAAAAATAAGCATGTAGTTAAAATAGATTTGTAGAAAGTATTATATTTTATCAACATGGGGTTTTATGGATAAGGAAGTAATGGAATGATACCTAATTAATAACAGCGAGAGAAATTACCATAATTTTGAACCTAACTCCTAGCTGTTCTTCGTATTACAATCAAGCTTACAATCGTAATTACAATTAATTACTTGTTTTTTAATATACGCATTTTTTTTTGTAAACTCTTTGATTTCTCCTCTTCATTAAATTCTCTGTTTCTTAATACAGTATACCTTTTAATACAAATACGAAAAGTAGATATTATTAAATGTTTTTTATTTTCATCATAATGTTCTGGACATTTTAATAAAAAATTAAAGTCCACTTGAGAAAGAGCAGATATTACATTATTTTTTAATCCCTTTTTCCAACCTTCCTCATTTAATATTTTATTCACTGCTGAAGCGCATACCTCTATACATTGCACAAATTGTATATTTACATATGTAAGACTTCTGTCCATTTCATTATATTCCCTAAAATCTGTAAATAAAATATTAATATCGTCCGTGGATTCCGATGATAAAAATATTTGTTTACAGCATATACATTTGTGTTTATTTTTTTTAAAAATTAATCCACAGACATACGCACATGCTTGCGCTTCAGCAGATGCCTGCTCAATTGCTTCGGTTGCATCAGCAATTAGTGGTTCAAAATCCACTGTGGAACTCTCACCTGTGGATATGTTATCAGGTTGTTTATCAGTAGGGAATAAAAAATTTTTTAAATTATCATTAAGGATGAATTCATCATCTTCGCAATTTCGTTTTAAGCCAGAATGGCGTAAATTATTTATAATAGCTGTTTTTGCTCCCGCGATGAATTGTCCAGTACTTGGGTTATCGTTAGATCCACAGTGGTATCTGATGCAACCGAAACAATTTTCAAGTGGATCTTGGTTTAAGCGGCGTGTCGAAAGAGTATTCACTCCTAAGTCCTGTAAATTTTTCCACAATCTTTCTACCGCGTTTATAGTTCGAATCCACCCAACCTGTGATGGTGGGGGTGAATTCGAACCAATAAACTTCATTTCCGAAATGAATTTTCTCATATTCCTAAATAATTGAAGGTGAGATGACCGTGGTGTCATATTGGTTGAAAATTTTTTGCCGCCACGTAAGTCAGGAATATCGGCATTAACGGCATCAAACAGTTGGTCAAAATTAATTAATAATGCCGCTGTAGCTGACGCCTCTGAAGGGAGTTCATCTGAAAAAATTATATAATAATTATATTCAAAATTTTCAGTTAATATACTAATGGAAACCTTTAAAAGAAACCTTTGCAGTGAAAACTAAGACAACACAAATATTGTCAAAGATGTGTAAGATATGAAATGTAGAGTTATTACAAAGAAAAAGAACTGATAAGAAACTCAATTGAATTACTTATTTGTTTTTTAAAAGCCAGTTTATTTACAATGTATATTAATATAGGTGTCTATGTCTATTCGTCATTAAATGAAAATTCAGTGTGTGAACAACTATTGCCATTTACACTCGTCATTCAAGTAATCGTTTAGTGAGTAATAGGCTTTGCTCAGTAAATATTAATAATAGCAAAAAACATCCAGACCAACACAAACAATCATACTCATGTATATAAATGTTTGTACCATGTGAGGGATCAAACCTGCTACCATTGGAAGTAAAGAGCTATGTTACAGCTAGAGCACTTCAGGCTATCAAAATAGATTAAAAAATACTTACTTGTTGCAATTTTATGCAATATTCCAGCTGTAACTTTATGGCTGAACACTTGCACAGCCAATTTGACACGCATTTTTTGTTTACTATTAGGGTTCAAATGGTGTTCCGTCAATGCAGGTGCAAAAACAAAATTAGGATTGTTTTTATCCAGTTCATAAAATTTTTGCACATGTGACCACTTCGCCACACCTGTTGTGATAAAGTTTTGTTAGAACATCACAACAATAATAATATTATACTAGTTAGAATACATAAATAACTTTATTAAATTATCTTTTATTTTGCTTAACCACTTTTCATAATGAATCAGAAACTCAAAATAGTATTTGAAGGGTTAATGCATGTATTACAGATAATGATAATACTACAACATAGTAAACTACTTTTATGTATGCTAGACATAATATATCTTTAATAGTTAGTTATTGTTTAAATGACTCTTCTGTTACATTATTATTATACTATATTTAATATTATTTACATACCTCTAGCAGTTTGACCATCAATATTATTTATGTTTGTTATTAAACATTCAATATCATGTTTTAAAAACATATTTCTCGTGCATTTGATGAGGTGCGGCGGGTCTAATATTGTGACAACTTCATGTCCATCATGCACAAAATAAGGATTCTCTTTTGTGGAACCAAGGATATCAAGAGCCTTTATGTTGACTCTTGATAAGTCGCATACTGTCGCCACTACAACTAAACCTGTCTTCCAACATTCATGTAATATCTGAAAAGTAATAATATATTAAAAATACAATAATATTTACTATACATAATATAAGAAATTGATTAAAAGAATATTGTATGTAATATTAAAAAAAAACATACTTCTTTAATTATGACTGATAATCTGTCTGAGGTTACAGACTTCCCAGAAAAATAAAATGATACTGGTTGCTTCCATTTTTTTCTTAAACCTGTCAACATGAACATTAAGGCATTACAAGCTATTTGATTTGTTCTGTTATGACTACCATGATCTTGGAATCCTTCAATAATATCTGTCTTCTCATTATAATACAGATGTTTTTTTATCGTCATTTCATCAAATACTAGAATACAAAGATTCTCATCCTCCAATTGGCCTTCAGCCATTCTCTTCAAACTTTCGAATACTTGTTTGTTAATGCCTGTTTTTAATGGTATTTTATTCAGCATCTTTTTTAATGTACTCTGACAGGGTAACGCAAACATTCTTCGTAAAAGTCTGTAGCATGCAGGTGACTTTTTGTACAATGTTAAAGCCATAATTTTTTGATCAACATTATATCGTCGACCTTTTAACTGTCTTTTACAATTTTGCAACTGGTTTTGCAACAATACTATAAATGTATTACTTAACTTCAAATCAGTCAATTTTTGAACATTTTCATTCTCACATATTTTTTCTAATTTGGCAGCTTTCTTTTTACATTTTAAACTTTTGCGTAATCTACTTATCTCCTTAAAACTCTGACTGCAAATTTTACAGTTTTTTCTCTCTAGCACTTAATTCAACAAACTTCTTAACATTTATATTTTTTAAAATTCCTGTGGAAATTTTTTTGGTTTTAGATTTTGATAGATTAGTTACACAGGATGGCCCTGGTTGTGGACTTATTTCGCAAGTCACTTGTGCTACAGTTTCAATATTTAGTGCAACTTGATGAGAGCTATCTACTGCAACATTATCTTCAGTAGGCACTGAATACCTTCCTAATTGCTTTTTTGTAGTGTTGGTAAAACAAAAATCCTTGAAGTGTCTTTTACATAACACTTTATTGCTTTTAAAAAGTTTGGATAAATCATCCAGTGATGTCCAGTCTTGGTCTGGCCAACAAAAGTTAGCCCAAGCTCTTGCCCTGTAAAACAGTAATAACAATATAAATATTTTTATTTACAATTATATGTTTACTTTTTCTGTCAAGTTTACATATGTTAGTTAATTTATTTGAACAAATTTAATCATTTAATAGAATAACCAAAATATTCAATGGTATTAGATTTTTTATTGTTACTGCTTTTATGATAACTATAAATTTTGGTTCTGGCCATTAACAGTTTTATCACTAAATTAAAATAATAAACTAATATAGAAAAATCTTTATGATAATTTTTAGGAATTTTAATTTCAGTTTGTCAATATATCTTTTGAAAATATACTAACGTGTTTCATTAGCAAACTTAGTCATTTCTCCATAAAACATGTCATTTAGGTTTCTATGTGAACAATTCAATTTCTTTTTATCAAAATTTTATGTATGTTACATAAAGGGAGGTGTGGGGGGGAGGGTGGCTTAAGAATTTTAGAAATGCAAATGTGGACATAGCACAAAAACGGTTGATTAAATTATTACTATATAGATATTACAATGGTATAACATACCCGGTAAATCATATCCAATTTGACTGTGAGGTGGAAAAATCAAATGTATGTATGTATAATAAAAGTTTACTATCATTTGGAATAATATTATAGTATAATTACATTATACTATAATATTATTGAAAATACTACCTGTACCCGTGGTTTCACCCGCCTGTTCTGATACATAGGTATATTATTGTAAAGTTTTATCAAAATCCGTTCAGTAGTTTTTGCGTGAAAAAGTAACAAACATCCATCCATCCATCTATCCATCCACACAAACAAATTTTCATGTTTATAATATTAATACGATAATAAGATGTGAAAGTCACCATACCGTCCGACATTTGTTTTTCCAGGTTTAGGAAACCGGTGGAATGATAGTGCCCCATCCTGAATAGCAGTTATTCCACATTTAGCACACTTTCTATATGCATCCGTAGACATAGTTGATTATACCCAATATCCACAATATGAATAAATACAAGTCGTTGCAGCGAATCAATTCTAGCATACATATAACTGCTGCTATGTTTATATTCAAAACATAAACACAAGAGCTAATTTATTCAACACAAGAAACAAGAAAAGAAACAATTTAAAAACTTTCGAAATGTAACGAACTTTCTAAAATGTGTTTTTTTAAATTAATATTACAACTTTGACTTTGACACTTCCATCGAAGCAAATAATCACTACGTTATGAACATGCTATTTTTGTTTATTACAAAAATAGCATGTTCATAACGTAGTGATTTTAGTAGTAAAAGTAAGTAAACAACATTTCAGTAGGTAATATAAGTTTCTTTGCTAATAAAGCATTTAGCGTGTAATCATTGCAAAATATATACAAAAGTATGCAGTATTTTGTTTTTTTTCTAATAAATTAAAATTTAAAATATAGTAAATTGAAAAAAGTTATTTTTGATTATTAATTATTCCATTTCGACAAGTATTTTTGAAAATAACTTCAATAATCTACTAAAATAAACAACTTATTACGAAAGCGAAACCACAACGTAAAGATACGCGTGGGTAAATGGAAATAATTTATTATATAAAAAACTGGTTCGCTGAGAGCTACTTCTTATCTTCATATTATATTTTTCTCTCATAAGTTATTTAATGAAATTACATTATTTTGTGGAATTCCGCTACCATACAAATCTGAATTATATAAATCCATTAAGTAATGAAACGGACTTCAGCAAAATAACACCTAGTTCTATAAAGCAGTATACCATCGTATCCGAAATGGGCTCTAAAAAGCAAGAACCCATGAATATTTTTTTTTATAAACTGTCGTTCAATGTTATACTCTGTTAACCTTCATTCATTGTCATTCATTGAATGTTGTTGATATTATTGCAAGAACTCAAGAGAAAACAGCACACTGTTTTGTCATATTAGATGTAATTTTGTTCAACCGATCTACAATCATGATAAATGGTTTAAATAATGATTATATAAATAAATTATTATAGTTTAGTCATATTATTATTTAAATGTTAATTTAATTAGTTTAAGTATATTATACGTACATTACCCATGAAATTATTTCTTTTTTTTATTATAGCAATAGTTAATATTCCGCAACTCACACATAAGCAATTGTTCATTGTCAAAAACATCTGTATGAAAGACAAACACCCCTGATTTTGACGCAAGCTGACTGTTGAATGACGGACTAATATTTTTATTTAATATTGTTATCTCTTTCCATTTCGTATTTAATATTATTTATTTAGCTAATATATTGGAAAATTTCTGTATGTGACCAAATTCTTTCTGTAAGGTACGCCTGTACCTATATAAATAACCTATTAAAACAAATGCAAACCAATGAATAGGTATGGCGAAACAAGAAAAAAATACGAAACCTGGGTTTGTAATCAAACTTTCATGTGAGACTGTTCAAAAATTATCAGAAGAAGACCAGCAATCTAAAGGGACAAGTAATTCTGAAATTTCTGAGCATACAGATAAAATACAAGTTAGCAAAGACACCGAAAAGTCCGATCAGGTAGAAAGCAATTTAAAGGTTATTACACAGACAGATGTAATAAATAAAGTAAATCAGGATACTACGTCAAAGGTAAAGGACAAAAACCTCAGTAAAAGTATTGAAAATGTACATAGTCTAGTAGAAAAAGATAAAACTTCTACAGATAAAAAAGATGCTACAGCATGGGGTGAGTACGCTCCATACATTACTTACGAAGGTACAGTAGCTACTTATACGGACCCAACAACACAACAAAAATATGTATGGGATGAAACCAGTACTTCCTGGACCCCTAAAAGTGGACAAGAAGTACCAGGGAGAACATACAGCTATGAGAATGATACACATGTTTACACAGAGCAAGATGGGTCTAAATTCTTTTGGGATGACCAAAAAAAGGCATGGATACCTAAAGTTGACGATGACTTTTTAGCCTACTACCAAATGTCATATGGTTTTGTTGATAACACTACTAAAGAAGAAAGTAAAGAGGATGCAACAAAAAAAGAGGCACAGAAGAAAGCTGAAGCCGGTTTAAAAAGGAAAGTTGAGCCACAGTGGTTTGAAGCTTCTGAGGAGACAAATACAAAGGTGTATGTATCAAATTTGCCATTGGATATAACAGAGGAGGACTTTGTTAATTTCATGCAGAAATGTGGTCTGGTGGAGCGTGATGTGAGTACACAGAAAATGAAGGTAAAATTATATATGGATAAAGAACAGAATTGTTTCAAAGGTGATGCATTATGTACATACATAAAAATAGAATCTGTAGATTTAGCTCTGAAATTATTAGATGGCAGCGATTTCAATGGCAATAAAGTTAAAGTGGAAAGGGCTCATTTCCAATTAAAAGGTGATTATAATCCTGCTCTTAAACCCAAGAAAAAAAAGAAAAAAGAACTTGAGAAAATAAAAAAAATGCAGCAGAAGTTGTTTGATTGGCGCCCTGAGAAGTTCCTAGGTGAACGGTCAAAACATGAGAGGATAGTGATAGTTAAGAATCTATTTCAGCCCACAGACTTTGATAAAGATGTACAATTGATACTTGATTATCAGCAAGACTTGAGAGAAGAATCTGCAAAATGTGGTGAGGTACGTAAAGTGGTCATCTATGATAGACATCCAGAAGGAGTTGCTCAAATCACCATGAAGGAACCAACGGAAGCCGATGCAGTAGTCCAGTTGATTAATGGAAGATGGTTTGGTAAGAGGCAAATTACAGCTGAAATATGGGATGGAAGGACTAAATATCGAATTGCAGAAACAGATGCAGAAATAAGTAAGAGAATAGACAAATGGGATAAGTTTTTGGAAGGAAAAGATAGTCAGAATAAAGAAGGCACTCCAGAAGAAAAAGCTAATAAGGATAAAGAAAGCAATGAAAAATCTGATACAGTAGTCTCACCGGAAACAGTTGAAACTAAAGAGACAGCTTAGTTGTATTAAGTTTCAAATACCTAACGTCTGTACATTTATATTATATTAAGAGTACCTTGCATTAGTGCATTACACTGTATTATAATAGTACATTAAAATAATTAATCACAAAATATATTTCATTTCAATAATATTACACTATCTACATGTATATTTAGCTACTCCTATATATGTATATTTAGTCCGCAGATACATGACGTCCCGGTTCATCCTACTTGGTGAATTCGCCGTAATGCAGTCACCAACCAGATATCCATCTCCTATTATGCACCATTGATGTCCTCTCAGTGTCAATGATATAGATAGTGCAGGCGAATGCACCATTTCATAAAAAAGGTGGGCGACAAAGGTGGCTGTCATTTCTATTAAATTTAATGACCGTAGAAGCCGCGGCGCAATGGTTACATAAATTGTTATATTTGTAATAATAATTGTATAATATAACATGTATGTTTTGATTTAATAGAAAACCGGTCAAGTGCGATTGGGATTTTCTCACAGAGTTCCGAACAAATTAACCGACTTCTAAAAAGGAGATTCCATGTCCGATATCTACATTCATAGATATCTTCGTCAATGGTAGACACATGGAATATTGACCATTTCTGTTGTTTATTGTCCATATACTGCTGTGAGAATATTCACACATGAAAAAAAAATACTAGTAGTAAATACAATGTTTTGGTTGAGATTATAATACCCCAATTTCATTACTAAAAGATAAGAACAATATGGTATGATGTTTACTGCAATGTATTACGATTAGATATGTATATTATTGATTGTAAATTATCTTTATTGATAATACAATTAAAACATAATGTTTAAAGACTAAAGCATATAGTATACGCATTCTACAAATATGAAAAATATATTATGTGAAAAATGAAGAGTGAAAACATGAAGACGAAATTAAGTCACTTAGCCTATGGTGGAAATTTCATCTGTAAATGGTTTTCAGACAAACCGTATGGAGGTCGACTTCATAGGATACATTGTTCATACTAGTAGGGCCAATAGACCTCGAATAACAATGCCCTGCCCTCCAAACTGAGGTACGAAGCAAAATAATATATACTTATCTAGATAAAATGGCGTGATATGTAATAGGCAAATAATAGAAATAGATGCTAGATATTAATAATTAATGTTTTTTTTACAAATGTATTTAAAATATAGATGGGTACCGTTTTAGCATATTTTTTGAAAACCCCACTATAGAAAACTAATCCATAGAGACGTAAAACTTAAACGGAATTCATTGTCTGTGCAAATATAATGCTCAATTATCATAGACAACTTACCGTCATGTCATGTCTGACACCTGACTTTACGTTGCAACTAAATATTTGTCTATTTCGTTTCGGTATTTCATAATTTATATTTGATGAAAACACACATTACAGCTTAAACTTATGAGTACTCGAATGAAGATATATTACAACAGTTTGCGAAATATGCTAATTGAGAACACGCTGGGATTTCCAAGCCCACACTTCGGCTGAGTTGTCAAGCTTTTACGGTGCTTCTCAGGCTGTCTCCATGAATTATATCCGGATAATATGATAACATGGCTGTTCAACCTGACTCTGGCGGGAAGGATGATGTGAAGACACAGTTCGTGACGCGGGAAGGGACCTATCGCCTGATGACACTTTCAGAGTATTCTAGACCCAACCGGGTGGGTTATACTAGTGGGTCGGGTTCTTCTCACGTGCGCGTGTCACTGGTATCGCTGCCGCCGGGACCTGGAGGAGGAGCACCCGGCTCCGACGGCCAGGGGTCGGATGATCGGATATGTTTCAACCATGGCAAAGAACTTTATGTTTATGTGTACAGAGGTGTTAAAAAGGTAAATTCAACTTATATTATGTGCTAAATAATAATACATTATTTTATAAAATAATTTACAACAGTGTAATACATGACATGTAATGTGGAAATATCCATTCATGTCTGAGAAAAATCTGTTTAGATACTCCGTCTCAAGATGGAGATATTGTCACTATATGTAAAATGGAATTAATAATAATTTAGTACTGATAAATTTCAGTATGTTGATCAATCTCTAATACTAAATAGTAAATTAATTTTTATGTTAGCGTTTTATGATATGGTGTGTAAAATAAGAACAATGTGGATGATACATGAATGGACTGTATGTTTGATATGAATTAAGCAATGTATACAAAATGGTAAATACTTATAATTTAGGTATGGCAATTTTAAATCATAAGAAAAAGACATGCAGAAGACATGACAAAATAATTTATACATCTATATATATAAATAAGTGTCTGTTTGTAATATTGAAATAACTGTTTTTTACTATGCATATGAATATAAATATGGTACAGCTAGTATTAAAATTGTGTAATGAATTTGCAATAAGCATATCTATAGTATTATAAATCAGTAAAACATATAATTAAGTAAATGCATTATATTATAATTATATGGTGCACTGGCCTGTGTTAACTGTATATGTTAATAGTGCTCTAGTGGTTGATGATAGCATGAGAATGGAGTCAGGTCTACATTAGCTCATTGTGGTGAATATAAGGTATTAATAACAATGTCGCTCACACTTATGTAATTATATTAAATCTATATATATTAATAACCTAAAACAAATCACACCATTTAGTCCCAAGATAAGCAGAGCTTGTACTATGTGTAATAAAATAGAATAGATATCTGTACCATGAGCAGGTAGGTAAGAGCCTCCTCCATCTTTTCCCAACCCATCTATCCATGGCAGTTTGCGTCCAGTCTTTTCCCACATTTTTTATATCATCAGTCCATCTTTTTTCTACCGTCCTACTGTATTAACTAGTATAAATTGTATATGTTTCCGCAGGCAGCAGATCTCACAAAACCAGTAGATAAGAAGATGTATAAAGGCACGAATCCGACATGCCATGATTTCAACACTGTCACCATGACAGCAGACAGTGTATCACTAGTTATAGGATTTTCTACCGGCCAAATACAACTAATAGACCCTATTAAGAAGGAATTAAGTAAATTGTACAATGAAGAGGTGAGTAAAATTAATCATCATAATTTTTTTTCTCTATTCATTGTTCACTATTGTATATCACAGACTTAGATAGACAGATAATACATTTGTTTGTGTGTAGAGCACACATAAGGTACAGTAATATAAAGAGATAGATGCACAGTAAATACATTAGGCAGTTAACAATATATAATATAGGTGCAAATAATGTGTCAGTAACCTAGTGTGTGTGCATCTCCAATAAGAAAAAAACATTTGTACCTCAGTGTATTGTTTATGGTTTGCAGTAAACTACTAGTTTTGCAGTTCAGTGTATCCTTTGCTCAAGCAGAAAATAGCTAATTTTAAGGTATTATCCAGAGACATATGTGAGAAATGAACCTGAATCAACTAATGAATAAAAAAATCAACTAAAAACACTAATGAAGGACAGGATAGTAGATTACGTTTTCTGTTTATGCATTACTTCATATAATCCATGCAAATTTCTTTGGTAAACCCCACCTATTATATGCTTCTATTGTAATATAAAATTTTTTCTTTAAAACATGATTTCTCTACTTTGGTGTGATACATCCATATCAAAATTATCTATTATTAAATCTATGTCTGTTAAGATATAATGTATAATTTGATGTTATTAGTTTTTCTACCAATCAGATTAATATTCATATGATTAAAGAAATATTACAATGTCTACTATAGATATCATAACAGTAAACCTTGAGGGTATGTGAGATATTGACAAATTATTGCAATAAATTAGCTATTCTGTTGTGTATTAATGAATCATTTGATATTATTGTTTCAGAGACTGATCGACAAAACACGCGTAACTTGCATCAGGTGGGTACCCGGTTCAAGTAACCTTTTCATCACGGCACACGCGTCCGGACAATTATACGTGTATAATGAGGAGCTGTCCTGTGGAACCACGGCGCCGCATTACCAGCTCTTCAAACAAGGCGATGGTTATTCCATACACACTTGTCGAACAAAGTCCACTAGAAACCCACTATACAGGTGGGTTATAGGTGCCGAAGGTAGCTGTATAAATGAATTTGCGTTCTCACCCTGTGGAACTAATCTGGCTGTAGCATCACAGGATGGCTTCTTAAGAGTATTCCATTATGACACCATGGAGCTGATCGGCAGAGCGAGATCTTACTTCGGAGGGTTTCTATGTGTCTGTTGGTCTCCAGATGGAAAATACGTAGTAGTTGGTGGCGAGGACGATCTAGTTACTGTTTGGTGCTTCAGTGAAAGGAAAGTGGTAGCACGTGGACAAGGCCACAGATCGTGGGTTTCGGTGGTAGCGTTCGACCCTTACGTGGTGAGTTTCACGGATCCCGAGAGCGACGAGGGGGTCGAAGATGATAGACAAAAAAGTGAGAGTGTTCAGTGTTACAGACTAGGTAGTGTATCGCAAGACACGCAATTGTGCTTGTGGGACTTAACGGAGGACGTACTGAGGCCGCCGGTACGAGCGCGGGCGTCAGCCCATCTCTCGCCTAACAGTCAGACCTTTTCTCCGAACGGTGTACCCGGTATGAAAGTGCCGGCGAAAGGGGCGAAATCTAATAAAATAGGTCACAAACACGCAGAACTGAGCGGGCAAAATAATCCTTCTGGCGAATCGTCGGGAGCTAAACAACCTGCGAAAACGAAAGTGAATAACGTGTCTACTTTGAATATAAGCGTGGGGAAAGCGAAGGAGGAGAGTTCGGGTTCCCTCGGCGTTAACTCGTTGACGCAGCGGCTAGCGGGGTTTTCCTTCGGAGACCGCCGTTCGGAGCATAGACGGAACTTCAGTCTGACGAAGCCAGCCGAGCAGAAGTCGTCTGCGTCGAACACGGTCGCACTTAGAGGCAAATCGGCCGGGGCTCCGACGAATGACCCGTTCGATCCGTTGAAGCTGATAGGCACGGCCTCGTGTCCGAGGTTCGATGAGTGTCCGGTACTGGAGCCGCTGGTCTGCAAGAAGGTGGCCCACGAGCGATTGACCGCGCTACTGTTCCGCTCGGAGTACTTCGTGACGGCGTGTGCGGATGGCTGCGTTAACACGTGGGCGCGACCCGC